GGTCCAGTCGCGCTATTACACAGCTGCAGCACTGACCAGGCCCCTGAAGATATTGAGCCTGTCGGGTGGCCCTAAATGCTTGGGCCATCCGATGAGCCCTAACAGCGTGCACCGGACCCATGAAAACCGTCATGGTTGTCACCCCCTGATGGCGGCCGTGCTGGCTTCAGAACAGTGATAAGCTCACTTGTGTTGAATAAATCAATGTGAAAAAAATGTAAATAGACACACAGTATATGAACATCAGCGAATCACAGCCAGTTTATGGCACAGATCAGTCAAAATAGTACTTAGAAGTAGACAACAGTACAAATGAAGTGAACTCACTACGTCAAAACATCAATCTAAACATTTCTTGTATATAAAAACAAAAATACTTATCTAATTTTCAATCACACTAAAAATAAAAAATATACATATTAAATAAATATATATTTATCAAGATCTTGAGGAAGACCCGAAAGGGTCGAAACGTTGATTATATTTGTGACTTTGTTTCAATAAAAACCATTGAATTTATGGAAAGACCAGTGAGTGCATCTTTTTTCTGATTTGGTATATATTTCAATGTGGGACTGCACTGTCTTTGGAAATTATGGACTAAAGGGTAAGTGCCAAGATACTTGTGTTTATATATTTATATATATATATATATATTGCCATTTAGTGGGTGTAGGGGTATCCGGTAAGTCCTGCAGAAGGGACGCTACATTGATCCCAATAAGCTGTTCCAAGTGAATGTTACAGCCAGTAAGTGTATCAAAGATAACTGCATGAACCACGCTGCTTTATATTTTTGCCTATGTAGTTACAGCTTGCCTAATTTTGCCATTTGGATTTCAATTCTCTACAGTTAAGTTGAGTTCAGTAATTAAACCAAATACACCGATTCCTCTCTCTTTGGTTACTGTTATTCCTTACCTTTAGGGGTATTCCTAGCCCTCAGTTGTAGCCACTAAATAATCAGAAATGAGTGTACGTCACCTGGTACCTAATGGTTCAGAGCAAAACCTTCAAGTTCTTAAATTCACAGGAAGACTGGGCACTTGGGAAAGTAAGTCATAGGAGTACTGTACTGGAAACAAAACTGTTTGTTTTCGCTCATCGTGGTTTATTAAAAGTATTACAAAGAGCCACTAGAGGCGTTTTCTGCAGTTTTTAGCGGCGTTTGACGCTTTGAATGAGGACATCCATCGCAAGAGGTTCCCCACATTGGTGATAAAGGATGAGCCTGACTTCTGGAATTAAGTAAGGAGAATAAAACTGTTTTAGCCCTTTACATTGCTTGGTGGGGAGAGGAGGCAGAGGGACCCTTTAGTGTTAGGAATACAGATTTTTATTCCTAACACTATAGTGTTCCTTTAAAGGATACCTATCATGTCTAAGATCATTGTTCTAGCAGATTTGATGGCATATGTATAGATTGTGAGAAAAAAAAACTATTTAAAATGTTTCTTTGTCCCACCAGGTATTGTAAGTATATGAAAAATCTACATTGAATTAAGTAACTTTGCAATATATGATGTAGTTAAAGTATTTGGAAACAATTTAGGCGAAGCTAAAATATAAGCGACAGGTTTACTTTAAACCATTTTTAATGCTTAACCAGACTCCCCCTTCATTAGCCCAAGCAGCCCTTCCTCTCAATGCTGCTTGGGCTAATGAAGAAACATTAAAGTAGACTGAGCAGCAATTGGTGGCGATGCTAAACTGAGAATGTCAGCTGACCACGTTCATCCTATCACAACCAGCATTGCTGGTATGAATCGGTATGGCTAGAAGGAAGTGTGTGATCTCTGTTTTAGCCATACCTCCTGTATATGCCGGCTGTGGGTGGCCAGGGACCATCATTCAGTGTTTAACAGCTCAAATATGGTTTAACACTGTATCGAGGGAAAGATCCAGGAGACCACAATCACTATAACCAATTCATAAGCTCCCAACTATTATTTTGTACAACCAAGATATTCTGCCAGCTTCAAGTCATTAAAGGATTAAACATGTATTCCTGACCCTATAGTGTTAAAACCACCATCTAGCCCCCCTTTCCTCTCTACATATTGTAAAATCTTACTTGTATTTAAGCCTGCAGCTGCTGGCTTTGCCCCAGTCTGCTGGCATCATCAGAAGTGGTGGTCTGAGCCAATCACAATGCTTCCCCATAGGATTGGCTGAGACTGTCAAGAAGGCAGATCGGGGCAGCACAAGTCAAACACAGCCCTGGCCAAACAGCATCTCCTCACAGAGATTAATTGAATCAATGCATCTCTATCAGGAAAGTTCAGTGTCTGCATGCAGAGGGTGGAGGCACTGAATGGTAGTGCTGCACATTAGGCAGCACTGCCCAAGGACGCAGCTTTAACAACCATCTGAGAAGTGGCCAGTGGAGGTATAACTGCTAGACTATAGTGTAAACACTGCATTTTCTCTGAAAATACAGTGTTTACTGCAAAAAGCCTGAAGGGAATGATTCTACTCACCAGAACAAATACAAAAAGCTGTAGTTGTTCTGGTGATTAAAGTTCCCCTTTAAAAACTGTGCACAGTCACATTAAATTGACACTATAGTCACCCAGACCACTTCAGCTCAATGAAGTGGTCTTGGTGCCAGGTCCCTCAGGTTTTAACCCTTCAGATGCAAACGCTTACATTTGGGGTTAAGCCAGCCTCTAGTGGCTGTCTTCCGGACAGCCAGTAGAGGCGCATCTGCGACGCTGGAGGTATATTATGCCTCCATCGCGCAGAGCGTCCATAGGAAAGCATTGAGAAATGCCGTGCATGCTTATTTGGCTCCGCTGGCAGAGGGAGCTGACGTCGGCGGGGGAGGAGAGGTCACCAGCGCCGAGGGAGCCCGGCGCTGGAATAAGGTAAGCTGCTGAAGGGGTTGTCTCCTTTACTTAGAGTGTGCTTTTAATGGCACACCCCCCCCCCCAAAAAAAATACTAATGTGGAACAAAATCCATATATACCTTATTTGAAGGTAAGTGTATTTCCAATGATTGCCACACCCACTACAGGACAATACATGACAAATCTTTATACTCGTGCAAGACGTAACCTGGAGTGGTACACTCTCATGTTCACTGATATGTAAGAAGATAGATACAATCAGACGCTCAGACTAGTGATAATCCATTAAAACCATTCTTCTCTGTTATTTTCATTTAAAAATATTGTATTCTTTTGCTGCAAACCAGTAAATTGCCACCGTATAGCAATCTTTAATCTTGAAGAAGAAAGTTTTTTCGTTTTTTTTTTTTATATAATACACGATGATTGCAGTTTACGGAGTCCTTCATAATTCTGTGTGAGTCTATGCGCCATTTGTGAGTCTATTTTCCATTATCAGTTAAAATTATTGGGCTACACTTTAAAAAAAAAAAAAAAACTAAAAATCTTTAGATACACACAATTAATCTTACCTGTAATTGAGCACTCTTTCAGTGCTCTCTGCAGGATCCTAGTGTCATGTTCTCAGGGCAAGTGCGTCTAACAATGTGCTCACGCTATGCTTGTTGGGGCCAGTTCTCTGGACAGAACCCAAATATTGGGACTGTGCAGCCGAAAACAGGATGACTGGGGGGCCACTGAAACCCAATCCTTCTATAAGATCATCAAGTTTGATTATTGTGTCTAATCGAATACTTTTTTAAGGGAAGCATTGCGACAATACAGCTCATGCACTGCAATTGCCGTGATCTACCAGTCCAAGGCTTCTCTAACACTTCTGACAGAGAAGTATATGATGCACATCCTGCATCTGGCCTCAAAATACTTTGCATTAGATAAATGCATAAGATAAATTCAAGTTTTGAACCTATTTTTAAATAAAGAGATTTGAGTATGGAGAAAAGGCATGGATATGAGGCCTAAACTTATCAAATGTACCAAAGTTGCCTGGCATGTCCCTTTAATTGCTGTGCTAAAAACCTAATTGCAAAATTGAGGCTAAAAAAGCCAAAATAAAGCTAAAACTTAACTCCGTACCAGTGCAGAGGTGAGGTAAGTGTAGAATATTACATAGTCTATATGTTCCTATTCAAATACATATTAAGGTATGGGCAGTAAGCAAAGCAAAGGGAGTCTCAACGCTGGAAAAAGGTAAGATAAAAAGCTTTCTTTTTTAATTTTATTTTATGGCACACCTGAAGGGACATCTGCACATGCAGACTCCAAGCACCACGACAATTACAATTGGTTATACAGTGCCAACAAATTCTGCAGCGCTGTACAATAGTTAAACAAGACAAACATTTGGCTCTAACAAAGCATGACATGACAGATAGGTACAGTAGGTGAAGAGGACTTTGTCCAAAGGAGCTAATCTAATTTAACTAAAGTGGTTGTGGTGCTTCCAGTAACCCATTAATTTCCAAAGTTACACCAAAATAATTGAATTTGTAAAAAAATTCACCATGTCAGTTACGCTTTCAGTTATTGCGTCCTTTAAATAAAATGTGAAATTTACTTCAAGATGACTTGAGATCGTAAGCTCATGGGCAGGGCCCTCTCTACCTTTTGTATTTGTCTGTTTATATTGTATTGTTTTTCTTCCCCAATTGTACTGCACTGCGTAATATGTTGGCGCTTTATTAATGCCAGTAATAATAAAAAAAAATAAGAATCCAAGTTTACTTTGCCAAGGGGATGTGCGTCAGTATAAGCAGTCGCTGTTAAAGAGACAAATGCCTCCAGCAAAAACAGCCTGGCCACCTGGCTACCAACCCTTCCATACTCACTAGCCAGCTGACATTATAAAGGATAAAAAGAGACCCCACACACCCCCACACAACAAGAAAATGAAGGGAAATTAATTTTTACGTTCTTTCTTCAAATTTAAAATTCTGTGGATAATAATGACTAGCTTCACAGCAAGGTGCTTGATACACAAAGGGAAAGTAAACTTCAATGAGTTCAATAACTGTGACCCATGGCAACACATGCCAGCACTTACTATGGCGCCTGGGAGTCCTGCCAGGAAGGGAACGTCACTTCCGCCGACCGAACTCGCCACATTCTGCACTTCCGGTTGGAGTTCTCCTGCTGCCTTACAAGATGACCACGCTGAGAGCGTTCACCTGCGACGATCTCTTCAGATTCAACAACATGTGAGCAGGCAGTATAGCGGGGATAGTGGTGGGATAGCCGCATGTATCCCTCCTCGGGGGAAATAGGGCACTAAGAGCAGGAGTAACCAGCCTGTCTGTCCTGGTGGAGGAGGAGGGGAGGTGTCAGTGTGCTCCATATCATGGGATTTACTCATGGAAATGGCAACATGTGTGAACAAGTCCACCTGGAGACATTCTCCAACTTCACCATAGTCCCAGTCCAGCTGGTTTTATCATAGACATTGCCATTAGGAGTTAGGTTTGGAGATAATTCAGAGTTTATACCAAAGTCTGTGTGTGAGTCTACAGAAATGTTCCCCAGTTGGCTGAGCATTGTGGGAAACATAGTCCACAAAACTGGAGTGTCATTGTCAAACCTCTATTCACTTAAAGTGGCAGCCTCCAGAGACCTCAGTTCTATACTCTCACGCATGCAATGTTACGGTCAGGGGGTGTTTGCGAATTCAGCGAAGTCCCCAGGCGGTGACCGTGCCACTTTAAATCAAAGAAATAATGAGAGGAGGTAATAGGAGAAACCGAATTTATTTCATGGTTACTCCAAAGTAATAAAATGTCTGTCCCACGCTTTATGATGCAAATGTCCCACAGGGTTTAAAGGAACACTTTGGGCATTAAATCATTAAATTAAGCTGTTATGGTGTCAGGAGGTCCATGGCGGTGGCTTACCCTTACTAGTTAAACCGTTCACAAACTGTTTAATCTTAACTTCGGTGTTCTGCTCTGCCCTACTGTCCTGAGACAGCGGTGAAGTGCTGTCACAGTTAGGGATGTACCTTTTACAAGCCTTTTTTTTCAAAGTAGAGTTGCTGATTGGCTTAGAGCAGCGGTTCCCTAACTGTGTGTCATGGCACCCGGGGCGCCACGACGGGCACACAGGGGCGCTGCAAGATATTTTCCAGGTGCTATGATGATTGCACCGGGAACTGTGCCTCCCTCTCCCCTGCCGGCTCTGCAGGAGTGTAATGCTGCAGCTGGCGAGGGAGGGAGAGAGGATCCAGGGAACTCTAATCTGCAGCTCTGCCGGGTTCTCCTCTCACGAGCTGGGAGTGTTGCCGCTGTTACCACGGCAACACTCCTAATCTCGCGTGAGTGAACTCTAGCAACTCCTGAAGCTGCTAGAGTTCACTGTCACCACCTGGACTACCAGGTATTGCAGGAAATGTCCCCCCTCACAGTCAAAGGTAAACAGGGAGGGGGGGGATAATATTTATTTAATTATTTTTCATTGTTTTTTAAAAAAAATGATATATTTATGAATTTTCCCTCCTACCCCCTGGAGACACAATAACTTCCCCCATACATACATCCCTGAATGCTTTTAAATGTAAACACTGACTTTTCAGACAAAAGGCAGTGCTTACATTGCTGCTCGGTGACACCTCTAACGACAGTAACTCAGATGACTCCTAGAGGTGCTTCCTGTGTCAGTGCTTCACACTTTGCAGCACCTACATTAATGTTTACAAATTCTAAAGCATTAAAATCTGAAAATTCTCTATCACTGCTATATGTACGACTTGGCTATTGAGCCTAAATTTTGCCATTCAGATTTAAATGTGATACACAAAGCATAACAGCATGTACTGCATCACCACTCTACACCTTGCTTTATAAATTGATACAGTGCTTCTGCTTTTCAATTTAGCTATGCTAGTTTGCGTCTCTTTCCTCCATTCAAAAAAATCCCAACACTCTGTTATTCACTAATCTCCATTTTTATTTTTTGGTGTTTAGCAAATCACTCTGTAGTGGATTTTCATTTCTCTGTCATTGTACCCTGTCTCTTTGACTAGGTTCTTATGGACTTTTAAATTTGACAACATTGCTGTGATTAATTTGTGCCTCTTCTTTGTCCACATTCTGTGATCAGCTTCTCTCTCTTCCAACCCAACACTCCTCTCTGATTTAATTCCTGGCTCTCCCTCACCACAATTTTTGTCATTTCATAATAGATCCTCCATAATCTTCATTGGGAGAGCTGTATATATTCCATGCATATTGCACTGCAGGTCTTTGTGGGAAAGGCTTTTTAACTACCCTTTTAAATAATTGGGGGCGGGAGGGGGAATTAATTAAACGTTGTGGCAAACGTTGTGGCAAATGCTTCCATTTGCGTTTCTATTGTACTGAATGTGAAATAATAGCCACGTGTGCAAGAGTTTTTATACATTGTGATCTATAAGCTCTCTCATTGGAATGTATGGGAGAACATCCACACAAGTCATTTATAACATGTGGTGTAGGGATGTGCTGTACTTCACATTTGTCAGCACATATTGGGTGGGTGAGCGCATGCTTGCAGCTGTTATAGCAAATCTTTGCTGTGTTCATTTATTGCATAAGAAAGGTTATGTTGCTTAGAGCCTCCCTCTGCATGTTATCAATGCAGCAAAATGTTTTACAGTGAACTGAATACGAATACATTGAAATTAGCATTTCGCCTTTTGTGAGTTTATATAATCTGTGATTTGTTTTTTGTTTTCGCAGAAATTTGGATCCTCTCACAGAGACTGTATCCTTCGCTAGCTTTTGCAAATTGCCTGTAATGTTATAAATACATGTTAGTGCTTGGTTAAGTGAGTTATGAACTTACTTTCCCTCCATCCATCTTGAGAATATGTATTTACCTGGGATAGCCTTCCATTATAAGTAAAGAAAGCAAATGCAGTCAGTAAATCGAGGAATGCTGGGGAATTGCCTGTGCTGTCCCCGAGGTATATATAAAGATAGTGCAGTTTCACTAAGGGCAGATTAAATGATGGGATTCAAAACTCTACAAAGGGTCCAGGCAAATATTTTAAAGTGCACACTTACATAGAAGCAAGCAATCATGACAACGTTTCAGCCTTTAGTGGCCTTTGTCAACTCTATCCACTTTTTGGAACAATCTGTGGATACCGATCACCACCAACTTACTGCTTACATAATGGCTATGGCATGAGTGCTATCCATTCCATTATGTGTAATTGATGTTTATTATTGTAAATGCTTTGAAAGTTTCACCATTGGATACCTTGACTAACTGTTTCAGTATGGGATCCCTTTTTACCTTCAATATTTGGCTCACTGGCCAGAATATTTCATTGTTGCAGAGGCTCCTGGAGGGGAACTTATGGGTTACAGTAAGTATTCTAAAAGATTGACAAACATATATAGTTTTTTTTTAAAGTTTAAATTATGATGGTATTGCTTGCAAGCTAATTGCTCATGTGTATTTATAAGTGGGGAGTTATTACAAAAATGTCACATTTGATTGTACATGTCATGTAAAGCAGTAGAAAAAAAGGTTGGGAGGGGGAGAGGGTGGGGGGACAAACTTGTAGGTGTGCTTTCTCATTAGTTTATTCTCTTTAAATCAATATGAGGAATAAAATAAAAACAAAGTCTGTGTCTATGGAAAAGCAGAGGGACCCCCAAAATACCAATGTTTGCTGGATGAAATGTAAGCTCTCTTTAATGCACGATCTACCAGAAATGGGGGCTCTGCTTTCATCTTAAATAAAGCCCCATTCTAAAGGAAATGTAGCCTGTAAACTAGTATCTTATTTTGAAATGTACTCAGAAAAAGTGAAGTGCAATTTACATTGGTAGGCAAGTTTCAAATAAATTCTACAAGCACACTGAATAACACAAAATGTGTTGTAAGACAGCAATTTGTTAAAAAGAAAAACTATTACAAAAGAATAACATAAGGTTTAAAAAAAAATAAACGTAAAAAAATTGATTATCACAAAAGGTGTCGAGACTGGTAATATTTTATAGCTTGTCATGCAGAGGACCCTGAGGTGACACAGGCCAAACATCCCTCCTGTGATGATTTACCAGCCTTAATGCAGCACTAGCACCATCTGGGGATTTTACATCATTTACAAAGACCCTATTGGAGCCATAGTCATGAATGGGGGTGGAGGAGGGGAGCTTACCTGAAACTGGCTCTAGCGCAAGTTTGACAAATTTGCTTTGAATCTCGGGGGCCAGCTAAAAAAAAGTTAGGAGCCAGTTTTTTTTTGTTTGTTTTTTAAACTACCAAAGTATCATTCTCAGCTACAAAAATAAAGTTCTTAAAGGGACACTATAGCCTCTAGAACCAATGCAGCTTCGTGTAGTGGTTCTGGTGTCTAGCCTGTCCCTACAGACTTTTCAATTTAAACACTGCCTTTTCAGAGAACTCAAATGGCCACTAGAGGTGCTTCCTAGTCTCCATGTTATGCATAGAGGTGCTGAACGTTCCCCATAGAGATGCATTGATTCAGTGCATCTCTATGAGGAGATGCAGATTAGTGCATGTGCAATAGCCTCCAGGAAAGCATTGGCTTGGCTGAGATCATCAAGATTGGTTATCTCAGCCATGGTGGCAGGTCCAACCATGCGAGACTGTCACGTTGTGGGAAAAAAAGATGAGTCAAATAGCCTCTTCCATGCAGAAGGGGCCGGCCACCTAAACAGACACACTCCCAGACACACATACTCACGGTCGGGGAATAATATTATTGCAGGGTGTTTGAGGGAGCAGAGCATGGTAATGACTGCTCCATTCTGCACAGTCGGTTGGCCACCTCAGTTCTCCCTCGCCGCCTGGCACAATTCCACACAGCTCGCCACCTCCTCTGCTCTCCTACAACACTGACAAACCTGTCTCTGCTCTCCCTCAGCTGGACGGCCTGCGTGCATTCTCCCTTGGCGCTGCGAGCCGACATATCATAGGCCTGGCGCCTGTAATTTATCGAGCCCTGCCCTAGCAGGTGCCACCATACCTTTCTGGCTGGTCCTCTTCTGCTCCTATGAGTCCCTATTTTGTCTCTGTATATCAAGCTTGCCATACTCAAAGGCTAATACAGGCTAATTAAACAAGGTTTAAGTCTGTGGGCCGCAAAAAAATAAAAAACGTAGGTTTATTTAGAAAAGTTCAGTATAAAAAAAGTTGCCTGACACTGGATGTCCTCGCGCTCGTAGGGTTCAAAGTAAACAAAGAGCAAATTTATTTTAACGAGATGTGCATTTGCATATAACCAATGTTTCAGTCCAACTACCTTAACATATTAAGAAAAGTTTGGTAATGGGACTGAAATTGTGAATGTATGCTGTTGCACAGCTGTAAAAAACAAATAATGTTGATTTTGAAGTCCTATAAGTGTGTTCTTCACTTTGACTGAAATAATCAAACTTGATGACCTCAACCAATCCAATGCTTTCCCATAGGAAAGCACTGGGAGGCTATTGTGAATGTGTGGCAAAAAGCTGCGTGGCCAATCAGCATCTCCATGGGGAGCGGTCAGCACCTCCATGCAGACCCAGTCTATACACAGCCCCCTCCCCAATTCTAATAATTGCCCACAAATCCAATACATTTCCCCCAAATCCAGTACACTGCACCCTCCCTCCACTCTAATTGAATACACTGACCCTCCTCCCTGTACTCTAATTTAATACACTGCCCTCCCCCAATTTAATACATTGCCCCCCTCCCTTTCCCAATTTAATACTTCCCTTCCCCCAATTTAATGCGTTGCCCCCTCCCTCGTCTCTAATACTCTGCCTCCCTCCCCCAAATTAATACACTGCCTCCCTCCCCCAAATTAATACACTGCCTCCCTCCCCAAATTAATACACTGCCTCCTCCCCCAAATTAATACATTGCCCCCCTCCCTCCCCAAATTAATACACTGCCCCTCTCTCTCCCTCAAATTAATACACTGCCCTCCCTCCCACCACTCTAATACAGTCTCCCCCTCCCACCACTCTAATACACTGCCTGCCTTCCTTCCCCGAAATTAGTACATTGCCCCTCACCCCCAAATAAATATAAAAGCCCCCTCCCTGAAATTAATACACTGCTCTCCACTACCCAATTTAACACACTACACAGGAAGGTCCCCCAATCCCTTCTTCCACTACCTTATGATGAGCCACCCATCCCCCAGTTCCAGCCCTGCTCTTCTTTGCTCAAGCAGGCCAGACGCTCTTCTGGCACTGCGAGCAGAAGGGAAGAGGGAGTGCCTGCGGGAGCACGCAATCGGCCATGGGAGGGAAGACTAGAATCAGACAGGAAATATCTTTCCTGTCTTGTGGCTGGTCGTAGCCACAACTCAGTGTCCCCAGGGCAGGTGGGCCGCAAATATATCCGTTGTGGGCCGCAAGTTTGACATGCTTGCTGTATATCTTTTGACTGTGATGGAGTTTATGTGAAATTACAACACCGTCATAATGAGTGTTTTGTAAAGATTCTATCTTTATCAAATACTCATTTTGTATGGGGGATAGGTGGTAGCAGTGCTGCTTTAAGAATGGCAGAGCATCTTGGGAGCTGTGGCTCTGTAACAACTGGGAGAATAGTAGAAGCTGTAAGTCAAGCTAGTATAAAAGTGGGAAGCAGAAAATTTGAGTGGAAGGTGCAGGTAAAAAGTGAATTGCAATAAATGGTGAATTGAAAGGAACACTGAGCACCATAACCACTACAGTGTACTGGAATGCCCTGGCACTCTTCCAGGATCTGCAGTTAAACCATTTGGAGACTTTTCATAACTAGCCTAGGGGTGCAAACAGAAGCTCCATGCAAGACCTTTGAGCTCTCTGTGAAGCCTTGGACCGCCTGGTAAATTGTCATACCGTTTGCAGATGGTTTATCCTGCGAGGTGCCAAGACACTCATGGCAATATAACCACTACAACTGAAATTTAATTGTGGGCACAAAGGAAAAATTAAATTGGGAAATTTAAAATAAGAATAAGCAGTGAGGAAAAAAGACTAAAATCAGTAAGAGGTGAATAAAAGTAGAATTTGAGTACTTTCAGGTCCACTCGAAAACATTTTCCATCCCAGCTATCTACTATGAACTTTTTTTTTTTGTGTGTGTGTGTGTGTGTGTGTGTGTAAAAAGCACTGAGACTTGAAGTCATCCTATACAGTGCACACCACCACCATCTAGTGGAGAATGATAAACAGTACCATTTGAGTCTGACTTTGATTTAAATGAACATCTAATTGCAGTTTCAGATATATTGCAATGTTTATGTTGCAGGGTTAAGACCACCAGAGGTACTTGCTTTTTCATGGAGTTGAAAACGACGCTGGTCGTCCTCACGCTGTGCATGAGGCCATCCAACATAAATTCCCAATTCGAATTCAATAGTACTTAAGATTATTCACTTCCAGAATAGCAAGTAAACGATAGTTTGCAAATGTGAATTCTACTGGATTGCATTTGGTTCTGAATTTTATTAAAACCGCTGCTTTGTGAATTTTCCAAATCCTATAATTTGTATAGCAATCAGATGTGAATGCACAATTTTATTCCGAATACCAAATGCATCCAGGCAGTTCCTACAGATTCACTCGAGTTGACCAAATTCCGACCATTTTTGACTTTAGTAAATCTGAGAATTGCCAGTATGGTCAAAATTTGATAATTTTCACCGGATTTTGTCCTTCCGGAGGTAATTTGGTGTTTAGAAGTTATCTCCTGCTCTGTTAAACAGTAATACTGCAGGGGCATGGTCTATAGACTAACATTACTTCATTAAACTAAAGTTGTTTTGGTGCTCAGATTGTCCCTTTCAATGTACATGCTAGAAAGGGACTAAACTGTTTCCTCTTCAAACATGGCAACTATTTTACTTGGTTTTTGAATGACAATAAAGGGTTGCTTCAAGCACCATTGCTACTTCAGTTATTTGAAGTGGTCATAGTGCCTGGAGTCTGTATGTGCAGCATTTCGCTATGAAACACTGCAAATACGGTGTAATTCCATGTCGGGCAGCATCACTGGGGCCTCATCTGCCAACCCGGACCTTGCGTTTTTTTTTCTATGCGTAGGTCTGCAATCTTTGGCTGAGAGCAGTCTGCTGATTCTCTCAGCCAGTGAATGGCTGGCAGGATTTGCATCTGGCTCTGCAGAAGCCAGATGCACGTCACAGACAGCCATAGTGGAGACACAGTGCCCTGCATTAAATGGGTTAGAGTGCAAACGGTTGTATAATACCATGCAATTACACTTTATTTCCTCTCCTTCACTTACATAAAAAGGTAACGGTTTGTGCTGATAGTTGTACTCTTACAAGCATCCTATGCATGCATTTTAAATGCTCAATTATGTTTTTGAAGTAATGGGGAAAGCTGAGGGGTCAGTTGCCCGGGAAGAATGGCATGGACATGTGACAGCTCTCTCAGTAGCGCCTGAGTTCCGACGCCTCGGTTTAGCTGCCAAGTTAATGGAGCTTCTGGAAGAGATTTCAGAAAGGTAATAATCCTTTAACCTGTCTAGAAATGCACACAGCCCTTAAGTCAATGTAATTGTTGTTGTTGAGTTTGTTTGTATTTTCCTTTATTGCAAAGCCTCTGTGCTGGATCTGCGATTGTGGCTTTCCACAGCTTCTCAATGAACTCTAATACAGCTCATTGAGAATGGGGAAGGTAGCCGCTTGCTAGTACAGCACGCCTGCTGCTTCTACTAAGAGACCGTTCTGCCCCCAGTTATAAAGGTGCAGATTTATTTTGAAATTGGCAGTTTTAAAACCTGACAATCTTCAGGCACATACAGCTTCAGCCAGCAGAAGTGCTTTGTGTGTGGCGTGTTTATTTATTTTTATTTTTTTTAGATCCTGAAAATACAGCATTCTGAGGTTTCTATGGAATGGGTACTAAACACTGTGATTTAGACAAACCTCTAATATATACATACATATAAATAGGAGAGAGGCTTTTTATTTTATATAAATTTTTTTGCGTGTTGTGTATACCTTTTATCTTTTCTTCCTGATTAAGGGGACCGTATAGTAACCAAAACTGTTTCAGCCGTTTTTGTGTATAGGTCATGTTGTAAAGTCTCACTGTTCAACCCTCTGCCACTTAGGAGTTAAATCACTTTTTTATTTTTGTTCATGCAGCCCTAGCCAAACCTAAAAAGAAAGATGTTTTTTCAAATTCAATCAGATGTTCGTTTACTATTAGACGTTTTTACTTCATGCACTGCATTTTACTTTAATCACATAAAGGAGGCTCTTGCAATCTAATAACTGTGCAGGAGATAAGAAAAAAAAAAAAAAAAAACATAATTTGCAATACATGAAGTGTAAACATTAGATCTCACATAACAGGAAGTGTTTAGGAAGGCTGTGCAAGTCACATGCAGGGAGGTGTGCCTAGGGCTGCATTAACAAAGTGATTTAACTCCTAATTGTCAGAGAATTGAGCAGTGAGACTGCTGGGGCATCATCCAAACACCAAAACTGCTTCATTAAGCCTAAATTCTTTTAGTGACTATAGTATCCCTTTAACTTAATAGGAGTCCTTGTGTAATCAGCTCTTTGGACTATTTACCAACTTGCTCCTTTCTAGATATTTTCTAGTAACCTCATTCTTTCTTCCCATCCAGAAAAGGAGGATTCTTTGTCGATCTGTTTGTAAGAGTGTCCAATCAGGTAGCAGTAAACATGTATAAGCAGCTTGGTTACAGTGTATACAGGACTGTGATCGAGTACTACTCAGCCAGCAATGGAGAGCCAGATGAGGATGCCTATGGTAAGGACAATGTATTGGAAGCCTGCTTACTTTTGACCTAAATTTCTATACTGCTTTGTAATTAGCATCTTTGAACTGGCAAGTTTCAGACACAGTTTACATATTCACCTGCTTGTTGTTTTCCATCACCTGTTATCCTTTCTATTCTATTACCGTCCAAGCATCGTAAAAAGTGTCGGGTGGGATAAAGCCTTGAATTTGCTATATTGCCCTAACATTGTATTCTGAAGGCTTATCAGAATGTGTAACATTTGTAACACACCAGAAGATCAAAGAATCAAGCAGGTCCTTAATCTATTTAAACATGTACCAGTCCGCTTGTCTTCCTGATTAATCTGTAGCTGTAAAATTAAACCGTAAATTTCCCTGGTCTGTTCTTATTTGTAGAATTTTAGGGAATTGAACACCAAACTGCAAGATTTAGACAAAATTAGCAGATTTGGGAAAAAGTTACAATATGGCTCTTTTAGCATTCATTTTGCAATCTACTTTTTAGTTTAACTCTGTGAAACGACTCTGGACATCCTCAAACTTTGCATAAGGACATCCAACTCATAAAGTCCCCCATAGGAAATAATTGATTCAGTGCTTTGCTATGGGGAAGGCCTAATGCGTGGTGGTTGGGATTTACTATTTTGGAAATAAACAAGGATTGACGCCTATGTTTCAGGGCCTTCTCCAGCAATTTACCACATTTATTTACCACATTCTTAAAGCTATCCACTCCCGAAAAACATCAGGGGATGGTTCCTATTTGTACTTTTGCTCTAAGGGGAAGGGAATCCATTGTGGCAGATCGTTGTTTTTTAGTCTAGAGCCTGGCTTTGTTAATGTTCCACTAGCCACACTCTTGTGTGCTTCCCATATTACATTGTGTCGTTTTCCTTTAAGTGATTAGTAGGTTTTGCCCTGACTTTGCGCAAGATGTCTAAGTTGTCGATTAGTGTTTTAATTTGATGTGAAGGGACAGGATATTGAGATGGTCCAGTGCTTGCCATCTTAAGTCACAGGGCCATGGTCAGACCAAGTAATGATACCAATCGAGAAGTCCCATAGCAAGTGTGTTTGTGAGAAATAAAGATCATATCTAATCTTGAGTAAGTTTTGGATGTTTGCAATTATAAAGTACTGTCCTTCACCATGGGATGCATAAGGCACCAGCAATCCTTTAGTTGGGGATAATGTAATAACCTATTTAACACTCGTCTTTGGGTTTTGAGGGTGTCCCTGCGTTTGGTAGTACTGTCGAGCCATATGCATGTCTATTTTCCAGTCTCCTCCCTTAACTTCTACACCACCTTCTGTTGATTTCCTAGCAAATACACATTTAATAAATGGTAATTGGTCAGAATAACGGTTTACAAAGGTAAAAAGAATGATACTCTGCATCAGGATATCCAGTGTCCGCTAAAATAGACTGTTGTTTCCATTTAAAGGGATTCTCTAGTGCCAGGAAAACAAGCCCGTTTTTCTGGCACTTTAGACTCCTACAGTGTCCCTTCCAGTCCGCCCCCATCACACGTCGCTAAAGGGCTCCGCCCACGCTCTTCTCCTGCAAGAAGTCAGCCGGCGGTGGTGGTTTAATGCGCATGCGCAGCAATGGCTGCACTCGCATTAGGGATCCCCATAGGAAAGTTTTATTCAATGCTTTCCTATGGGGATTCCGGTGACGCTGGAAGTCCTCATGCACAGCGCGAAAAAATCTGTTTCTTTAACATTGGTATTGCACTGTAAATATTTTCTTAAAATCTCGGTAATCCATACGTTATGTTAAGAAATGTCAGGAATATCTTTAAATGGAGCAATAATGTAATAACTATAGGTAACTGTTATTGGTTAAAATGTTGAATATAGGGGGGCGTGGTTAGGATCAGCCAGAGTATGGACGCATGAACTGAGCTCTCTCGAGGCAACACAACAATCCTTGTCAATCTCACAATATCCAGTAAGCAGATGGCATCTAAAAAGGATCGAACAGATGCAAAAGCTCCCTTGGCAGTCCTGGGAGGGTCCAAGAGGACTTCTTTGAAACATTTTTCCCTCGACCTCTTGGACAAATAGGTGGCACTGAAGATAGGACCAACCCATGGGAGTAGCGGAGGACCTCCCCCAAGCCCCTCTCTCTCAAAAGGCATCAGTGGAGGTGGTTACTTGTCTGGTCTGGGTGCAATGTCCCCATGACACTTATCCCTACAGTGGTAATTATTGCATTTTGTGTCATTGGACATTGCACCCAGACCACTTCAATGAGCTGAAGTGGTCTGGGTGCAATGTCCCATGACACTTAACCCTACAGTACAATTAACCATCTCCACTGATGCCAACACATGCAAAATAGTTAACATTCAGAAAATGTTTTGGAGACACTGTAAAATATCTCCCATAAAAATTCTATGCACAGGGTAGGTACATCATGCACAGGGTGAGTTTAAAGGAACACTATAGTGTTAGGAAAGGTATGCATTAAAGGGATACCATATTGCTAAAAATACAAATCTGCCACCCCTCCCCTCTCTGACCGGGGATAATACACATTCACAGTGAGCGCTGAGTCCCTCCCCATTGGAAAGCTTTGACTTAATGCTTTCCTATGGGGATTTAACAGACGCTGGATGTCCTGATATAGAGTGAGAAGAAGTCCAGCCTCAGTTATGCGACCTAGAGTCCGATAAATCCCGGAAGCACCTCTAGTGGCTGTCTTGTAGACCGCTACCATAGGCTGTCTTAGTACTGCAATGTAATGTAAGTTTCTCTAAAACTGCAATGTTTTACATTGCAGGACTATGTGTGACAGGGACACTGCACCCAGACCACTTCAATGAGCTGAAGTGGTCTGGGTGCCTACAGTGTCCCTTTAAGTAGAACACTCACATTCACTTTGAACTGCAGTAAATGAAGCAGCTGGAGATTTTAGTAAGTATATTCTCTTGAAATCAGCAGTTGTATAAAACAAGCCTGCAGTGACCAGAAACTAACAACTAAAGCACTTCAACAAGATAAAATGCTTTGTGTGTTCCTTTGTTTATTTTTTTACCTCCCTAAAAAAAATTGGCATTTTGTTTTTCTAAATATTTCTTTCTACTATCTACATTGGGGTTCAAAGTTCATTTTATGTACGTGTGTGTGTATATATATATTTTTGCTGTTTTATTTTAGACATGAGAAAGGCATTATCAAGAGACACAGAGAAGAAATCCATCGTCCCTCTCCAGCACCCGGTCCGGCCTGAAGATATTGAATAACCCTAGCTGTGGTTCTTGGGCAAAAGGATGATAAATGCATTGTATTTACCTATGCAAAATGAAAGTGACTGACTGAAAAAAGTGAACATGTCCTGCAATTAGAATATAAAAAAAATAGCTTTTCATATCCGACACCTAAAATTTATTTTTATTCTCTGCTATACAGAAAGGGTGATCAAAACTCTAAAAAGCACATTCTAAATAGACCAATAATTGTTGGGGGTTTTTTTTTTCTTTGATTTTGTTTTATATTAATAACTCTTCATATGTAATATATATATGGTTTTTGATTTATGATGAGCGTTATGGTTTCATTGGGGTTATTAATACACTTTACTCCTGAGGGTTATCTGCCTCACCTTCCTTCTGTTGCTTTAATGAGAATTCTGTTTCTTACCGTCCTGGCTGCATATATTTGTATTGCTCTAGAACACTCGGGGCACTGCACATATATGTGGGCTATAAAGACTGTCTGTGGATTGTATCTGTACATCCCTATAAAACAAACTCAGCTGCCAGTCAAGGATACTGCCTAAAAGCCCTTGTGGGTTTTTGCATAAAATGCTCACTGTGAATAGTGATTAAATGCAATGATCAGATATCTAAAAATTGTTGGAAAATACGTTTGTAATAGCTCCTACTACATTCACGCCAAGTGGAGGAATTAACATTTCTTTATTCTGCCATGTAAACCTCACTCATAATAAATCCTAATAATTTATCATAATAAATCATAATAAATAAGAGTTCAGTAGATAGGAAATGTTTTAAATCTGCCTTTATTAAACCTAGCGTTTAATAACTTTTCTTTGCTGTGTTTGTAAGTTGACAACCACTTCAAAATTTACACTAAATAGACTAGATGAAACATCCACCTCAGTTGGTTGTCCTTCCCCTACAACTTAGTGCTCAATGAATGAACCCTATAGGTTTTTTGTTTTTTTAAATTTGCTCTTTGAGTTTCTTTAATGTTGCTTTATATATAGTTTAGATTGGCAATTTTGCCATCTAACACCATTATCAAAGAGCTTCACACTGTATATATTGATAAAATGCCCGTATTACAAGTAGTAGCAGTACATGAGCTGTTTTGCAAGTCTTTGGGTACTTGGGTTTTAGCAGCACATAACTTGTGAATTATATAGCCAGATAAGTGTTTTAATTTCTTGAATATGCCAACCAATTGGGAACAAATCACAGTGATGGAACCCCGTGGTGCATTGCATTAGGATTCTGAATAGCAGCATACTGTCTACATAGTGATGTACATGGGGAAAATTCTTCCAGTTTGGATGCAGCAACAATGCCTGTATAGATCCTTTCACTCTTTGTATTGCATATATGATGATCTCAGTCAGTGAACTATATTTAAAAGGAAAAATTAATGGTTAAGAAAAAGCATTTTATTTGAATGGATTTTGAAGTTTAATTACGGTAGATTATTTTTCGTATTATTTATTTTGTGTGTGAATATAAGAGTGTGTGGAGTTTCTGCACTGATACGAATGTTCAATGCGTACGGTAACGTTTTCTATCTTTTGCCCAAGAACCAAGCACAGTGTGTACATATGTAGTGTTTCTTATTTAGGTGTCTGCAGTGCTCTTGTGTGATAGGAGGCAATGAAGCTGTAAGAGGCTGAAGTGAGAGAATAAAATAGGTTGAATAAATTCCGATGCTGTTCCAACATTTTAATGTCTTGTGTGGTTTTTTTTATTTAGTTTTTTCTAATGTATATAAAAATATAATTTTCACTACTGGCGGAAATGTATGCTTATTATGTCTGTTTTGATGAATGCATATGCTCAGACAATTCCTGTGGTGTAGTAAAACTGAGCGAGACACATTTGTTTGCTCTGATACACAGGCATTTAAAAAATATATATATATTGTGTGTATATATAGTTAATACATTGCTAAACACAAATACCCACACCAGTCAAGCAATAAGACTTGCTTTTCCCCCAGAAATCTCACGTTAACAGTGCTCTCACTACTGCAAGGGATTCTGGGGAGGGGTATGCAAATTATCTCAACAAAGAATCATAGTTTTGCCTCACAATTCTACTTTATACATGGATTCCTTGAAGTATGTGTCAGCTGTATACAACAGCTTTGAAACACAACTCGGGAAGAGGAGCAAAGCCAGTGAACCACTCATGGACAGCTGTTTTGTTGTTAATGCAAATCATCAGAATCCCTTGCAGTAGTGAGAGCACTGTTAAAGTGAGATTTCTGGGGGGAAAGCAAGTCTTATGGCTTGACTGGTGTGTGTATTTGTGTTTAGCAATGTATTCACTATCCACTTACTTCAGGTGGAAGGGTTTTCATCCACTATTTTTTTTTCCCCCACCACGAGAGAGAGAGAGAGAGAGAGAGAGTGTGTTTTAATGCATATCATGACCTGTGCCAGTAAATGCTAGAGAAACCTTTTACATGACCAATAATACAAGGCAAGTATAAATATAAATATATATATATAATTATTATTTTTTTTATTTTTTTTATTGTGCTTACTTATGCAGCACTTACATGATCATGATGACACGATGTTCAGGGAGTGCTGATAATCACTTAGCTATCTATAAAGTAATTCTGTATAAGAACGTGTTTGCCCCGGCATTCCTTAATTAATGGCAGCACAAGACTAATTTACAATGGTAGTCTTTTGCATTATATTATAGTTTATTAAGAAGGATTTGAGAATCGAAAAATAAAAGCGTAGTAATTGATACATCTTGGAGGAAATATCTCCTTAACAGTTCCTTTAATAGCATGCTGTGTTATGTTATCTAACAAGTTGTTATGATTGCACTGAAAGAAAAAAAAAAGTGTATCAATCATTTTAAACTTGGAGGGAGGGGTTGAAATAAAATTTTGTGACTAATTTCTGAGGCAGGAGAGTGCATTGCAACAGCCATTTGCCAATCCCTTAAATAGACACACCACTGCCCAAGTACAAAAATAATATATTCAATGTTTAGTAGATATACTCCATGTACAATGCATGCACTTAAAGGACCACTATAGTGCCCTGAGGGTGCCCCCACCCTCAGGGACCCCCTCCCGCCCGGCTCTGGAAGGGGGAAAGGGGTTAAACTTACCTTTATCCAGCGCTGGGCGGGGAGCTCTCCTCCTCCATTCCTCCTCCTGGCCTGAATGCGCACGCGGCAAGAGCTTCGCGCGCATTCAGACGGTCACATAGGAAAGCATTCATAATGCTTTCCTATGGACGCTTGCGTGCTCTCACTGTGAAAATCACAGTGAGAAGCATGCAAGCGCATCTAGTGGCTGTCAATGAGACAGCCACTAGAGGATTAGGGGGAAGGCTTAACCCATTCATAAACATAAGTTTCTCTGAAACTGCTATGTTTATGAAAAAATGGGTTAACCCTAGCTGGACCTGGCACCCAGACCATTTCATTAAGCTGAAGTGGTCTGGGTGCCTAGAGTGGTCCTTTAAGGATTGGAATTTGAATTGTAACTGTTTAATTTGCCACCCAAAAGACTACATCTAGGTATCTATTAAGTTTATATAACATTTGCATGTCCCATAATCAGATTTGAATATAAAGCAATAAAAACTTTGTGTGAGAAGTGTGCCTTAATCTCATGTCCATTAAGGAGTGACTGTCAGACTGGCACATTTATTTTACACAGTGTGAAATTACATGCAAATCTATAGGGTAAAAAGTTCCTGAATGCTGCTTATTGCTTCCTCACGATGACCATCATATGACAATGCTCCTGTCATTCACACCTTCTTTATCTCCCATTTCTTTGCCTCTTTTGTCTTTACGTTCTTTGCCAGTTATGTTCCCTCCTATTACAGCTCCTAGCCCCCTTCCATCCACTTCCTCTGCTGTCAATCATATGGGCAGCACATTCTTTGACCCTCGTATCTCGTTACCGATCATCCTCTTAGTTCTGTGTCTAGAATGTATTGCAAATGTGTTTTGTTTTTCTTTATTCCTCAGTTAGGTATATCTAATGTCCCCTACCCTCTACTGCCTTTCCAGTCATATCCACTTTATTTATTCCAGTCATATCCACTTTATTTACCAATGAAAAAGGTTACCTGCGTAGTAGCGCAAATCCATGTGCATATTTAAATAAATGGAGGTTATTTAGTAACTCCAATGGCCATTAGATGTAAGCCCACATGCCATGTCAAGGCAAACCTTAGGTGGGTCTTACACTAACCATTTACCTTGCTTCCTTCAGCTTCAGGCTAAGAAATCTCAGACAGAGAGGGGTGTTTTTCTAAACCCCTACATACTTATTAACCCTTAATAGTGGCTAGTGGACTTACAGCTAATTGTTAGAGGGACACTATAGTCACCTGAACAACTTTAGCTTAATGAAGCAGTTTTAGTGTATAGAACATGCCCCTGCAGCCTCACTGCTCAATCCTCTGCCATTTAGGAGTTAAATCCCTTTGTTTATGAACCCTAGTCACACCTCCCTGCATGTGACTTGCACAGCCTTCCATAAACACTTCCTGTAAAGAGAGCCCTATTTAGGCTTTCTTTATTGCAAGTTCTGTTTAATTAAGATTTTCTTATCCCCTGCTATGTTAATAGCTTGCTAGACCCTGCAAGAGCCTCCTGTATGTGATTAAAGTTCAATTTAGAGATTGAGAGACAATTATTTAAGGTAAATTACATGCAGGCTCTGTCAATCATAGCCAGCGGAGGTGTGGCTAGGGCTGCATAAACAGAAACAAAGTGATTTAACTCCTAAATGACAGTGAAATTGCAGGGGAATGATCTATACACTAAAACTGCTTTATTTAGCTAAAGTAATTTAGGTGACTATAGTGTTCCTTTAATTTAAGTGCAAGCCTTATTTTTGTGTATTTCTATCCCCTTTATTTGCCCTCCTTTACATTATTATTGCCATTTATATAGCGCCAACATATTCCGTAGCGCTTTACAATATTATTGTTAGTCATATTTCCTTTTCTCCATTTCTGGCCCCTATTCTCCTTTGCTTTCACAGTCAGTCCTAGTGTCTGTCCCCTTTCTTATATTTCCTATTAAGTGCTATTGCCCGTCTCCTTCCCTCCTCTCCCACATTATGCAGCCTATCCCATTCATCTATGTCTCCTGATCTTAATTGTAGCCCTCCTAAATCAGTTATATAACGCCCCCTCATTCTTATCCTGAAAGCCCTCAATGAATGAAATAAAAATGCCTTAGTACACTGAAGGCTCATTTTATATCATAAGAAGGAAATAAATGTGTTTTATGTTTGGATGTACTGGTGAGATGCATGTTGCCATGGTGTTGGGCAGATACATACTGTGTGATGCTATGACACACATGAGGAACATTTATTAAGGTGTTCTAAAAAGTCATCTAAAGTTATACAACTCCTCTCCTTTTAATTTTTTTCCTGCTTTTTCGAACAGGATACTTTGCTAACTCTCACCCAATATGTATGTGTTGCTCTGCTCCTTGTAGGGGTTCAAACTACTGGACCCAACTATGACTTTTTATTAGTACCTCTGTTCTGACACAGTGCGACATCTAGGAGTTATAAAAGTACGTATATAAATCTGGATGTAGAAAGTGATAAAATAAAGTAGATGAAAATACATGCAATTAATATCAATAGTATTCAGCAAGATATCAAATCTATAAAATAAAGTACAATACAAAAATAACAGATAAATAATAGTAGCCCCCATAAATCAGTCCAAAAAAAGGGAAAACTAAATAAAAATATAGTCCAAAAATTGTAGGAGCAGAGTGATAAGCTACATGGAAGTATATATCAACATAGACCCTTATGCAAGCATCATCTAGCGCTAAAATCAGTATACACTTGTAGTGCAGTACATAAACCAGCTAACTGCCTAATAATTCAAAGGCAGTGTAGCCTAAAACGAAACAGTTCACATGCCCACTATATTAGCTGAAATGTTATTCAAAAGAAGGATTAAAAACACTCATAAGAACTCTGGCGGCCAGGCGGGCACTAGCCCAGGCGTGGCGGACACCCTCAGTCCCGACAAATACCGACATCTTCATGAAAATTAAAGACACGTACTTAATGGACAAACTCACAGCCCAAATAAGAAACACGTAAACAGAGTTCCATAAAGTCTGGCAACCCTGGGAGGAATACATAAGCGACTAAGACCTACAGCACCTGACGAGAGCGAGAGACAGGGCCCGCCGCGCTCCCCCCCCGCGGGCCGCTGGGGGAACTCCACGTGGCCTTCCCTCCCCCCCTTTTTTTTTTCTCTCTTCCTCCCCTCCTGCCTCCCCAACCTTCACTACGCATCACCACAACCAAGCAGACACCAGAAACCACCTCCTACAGGAGAGATGTAGTCTCTCTACAACACGACGGAGGGCGAGACCCCAGAAGCAGGTTCAAACAGCACAGGGATGCCCTGCTGACGGGGACGCTGCCCCATTAATACCCCAACGAAACTGCTATCGGCAGACCACGGGGGCTCCTCACACGCTACACCACCACACCCGAGACAGGCCCCGTGGAGACAAGAACGGAGGCCAGGGCCCTCTTCCCATACACGTTCCATACAACGTCCGTCTGCCTTGAGGACACCACACCGGCTGGGGTACAGACATTCACCTTCACAACAATAATCTGCATCTTTTTGCTAAAAAAACATTCTGACCCAACCATGCTCTACTAACGGATATAAAAAGCAAAGACACGATCTATTATGCTTTAATACCCTTGTTAACTTTTCATTTTTTGTATGAAACATAAAATTTGACAAAACACTGTACAACTACTGTAAAGCAGAACACTGTACCACACGCTTTTGTATGCACTGAGTATTGAGCATCTATATTTAAAATGTGCAGTTATATCTAATGCCACGGTTATACTATATGTGTTTATACTCTTGCTCCTGCTGTTGTGGAAGCGTAAGACTGATTGTTATTTGTGCACAACAAAAATAAAGAATTAAAAAAAAAAAACCACACTCATAAGAATATATTAAATAAATGACAAATAGGCTAAACAGCTGGCAATGAAACCTGATATCCCTGTTCCTTGGATGGATGAGTGCTTCAGTCAGTTCTGTGTGTGCACCTCCGGTTTGGATCAGCGTGTGTTAGTGTGTTCCACCGGGATCCTCACAGCCAGGTCAGGAGCATCAGTCTCTGGTGTAAATGCTAGCCTCTGATTAAGTAGGATCCCTATGAAATGCCAAAGGCAGACGGAGCCTCACAGATTGACTGTTGGTCCTAAGATCTCTCTCTACACAGGAGATCGGCGCTGCTGACCTGGCTGTGAGTGAGACCAATGAGTGGCATGCACGCCTATCCAAACTGGAGGTGCACACAGCATGGACTGAAGCCTCATCCATTAATGAAATAAAACTTCTAAAGGGACACTCAACACAAGAACCACTATAGCTTAATGCAGTGGATGTCATGGAACAAGTATGTCTGTCCTTTGTAAACACATCTTCACATTTGTCCTGAAGAACATCTTTAGGGACTGTTGCTCAGACAGCTCCAAGTGGTTCTTCTGTTTTTGCAGAACTGACCATCCTTTGCCAACTTTACACTCAGCAGGAAGAAACCAAAGGAAATGCTGATTGGTGCTGTGTAGGCCCTAAATGCTTCACTATGGATTGTCTGAGATAAATTGTAAGGATGACCTCAGCCAGTAGTAGAGTGGTAATGAGGGATGATAGGTAACTAGAATTAATTTTAGCTTTATGGGGAAACCCTCAATCTAATTATTGAAGAAATGAACATTAGAAATATAAACATTTATTCCTAACAGATGTTTTCCTTGAATAAGTTTATGATCCTGATTTGCTTGTGCGGTTTTCATATTGCTTCGATCTCTCTGATGCAAATCAGTTTAAAGATTGAGCTAGAGTTCAACAAATGTACTCTGTTCATGTGTTTTCCCAAGCAAAACACTCCTTTGAATCAGCGATGCTTACGAAAGGATTTTGATTGAGGGCCTAATTGCCTGCTGCAGATCTACCTTTTAATTGGCTGTTCAGATTCTAAGAACACTTAAAGCATTATTACCACTTGACATGCAGGGGACACAACACCAGTTTATTATATCCTAGCCAAGAGCCAGTCCAGAACAAAAAGCTGTGGAGAAAACCTCCTTAGGTATTCATTGGAGTGCAATTAGTTTGGCATACAAAGTGAATTTTAAACATTAGGCCAAAATACTAAGAACCCAACCGACAGATTCTCATTTACACATTTTGGCCTATAATTTGAAATTCAAGTTGAATTCCAGACACTTCACATTTTAGTGTGAAAATCATGCAAGCATTCCTCCCTACAAATATAGCACTCTTCTTACCTTTTTCCTGGATCTGGGTATTACTTTGAAAGTTAGCTCCTAAAGACCATATGTTTTAAATGTATTAAGTGGTAATAAAGTATTACATGGCTAACTGGAGAGACTAGCACTAACTTCCTTTTTACATCTGATTTCCAGGTACCTTAGCATCTTTTCATTATTGCAGTTTATGGTCAGGTTTACCCCCATAACAATAACCATAGTCAGCTTTAGTAGTTATGGTGCCTGGAGTATTCTTTGATGTATTTACTTCGAAAATGTAGTATTTAGGCTGTGCTAGCTCTTGAATTGCAGTTCCCATACATCCCTAGCTGCCCTTAATAAGCACAGGCTGTGTGCCTCACTACAGAGAGGAAATGTACAGATGGCAGCTCAGCTGGTTGCTGGAGACAAACCTGGTTCATAACCTGAACTGGGCTGTTTGAAATTGATAACAGCCACACCGCGACTGCCATCGGTTTATTGTTCAGGAAGACAGAAGGTGGGGGAGGTGGATTAGCTACTTGTGCCATAAACCTCTGCTGGATGGAATATGGGAGAGCAGACTCCTTATACCAGAATGAATAAGATGCCCCAGATTGGTTGGACCTCTTCCTCATGAGGACACAGTAGAACTGAACCTGCAAACATCTAATCTGTACTGCTTCAGGATCTTGGGACGAGCGTATTTTATTTTTTGTGAATATATTTTTATTTGACTTTTTCAAAATTTTCATAAAGTTAACCAACAGTGTGGACACACAGGTCCAATCATTTTCGGTTTCCGTTGTTTTTCTGGGGATACGGTGTAACCTTGTATACTATGGTGACATACAAGTCACTTTTGAGCTCTTGTGGTCCTTTTTCAGTGGACTCACAGGTCCTTTCACATATACAATCAGACAGGCATAGCTCTATAGTTCCCAGTGTGTTTACCCTGTCTGGTTCTAGCAGTCTTAATGGGAGTCTTCATTGGTGTCTTGTGTGCTAAGGGTAGGTGTCGTCTACTGTAAGGGGGAGGGGGGAGAGGTGGTGTGGTCTCCCTTCTGAGGTCTGCCGGCAGTGGTAACTATTTTACGGTCTCTCTCTTGTGGTTTTCTGCCTGCTTCTTGTATGTGGTAACCAGCTCTGTGGCCGCGGGGTTACCTACCAGGTGTCCCTTTCCTCTCTATTGCTGGTGTGTTTACATTTCCCTCTTTTCCCCTCATCTGTATCCTCGTCTTTTTTATAACTCTATGTTCTGTGCTCGAGTCTGCCTACCTGTGGTTTCTCGTCATCTACTCCTATCTTATGCATATTGCCGCTCCCCAGCCCGTTGGCCCTCTGCAGAGTGGGGAGGTACTGTTTCCAATCCTGTCTGTGCCATCACGGTTGGTGTAGCATGTCTTTGAAGTCCGGGCGCTCAGTAGTCAGGATCCAGTGTGTCCATATCATCAGGTATGTCTGCGCCTTCCCCTCTGCCATTAGGGAGAGATCCTCTAGTGCTCTGAGTTCCTCCATGCTTTGGTACCATGTTCCCAGTGGTGGTGCAGATTTTTTTATCCAGTAAATAGGGATGAGGCTTTTAGCCACATTAAGTATTCTAAATGTGAGGGATTTTTTGCATGTTGATGCCCTTGTCATGGTGTGGTGGATGAGGAATGTTGCAGGGTCCTTTGGTGGTAGGATGTCAGTGAACCTCCTGATGATTTTGTATGTCTCCCAGTATGGTTGAATGAGTGGGCATTCCCACCATATGTGGAGGTAGGTGCCTGTGTGTCTTGTGCATCCCCAGCATGTGTCGTCAGTCGTGGGGTCAAAATTATATATATATATATATTTTTTTTTTTATATGGGGTGCAGTACCAGAGTGCTAATATTTGACGGTGCGCAGTGTAGTGTGAGTACATATTTTGTCCCATTGGTCAGGTGTGAAGGTTGTGCCCAGGGCTACTTCCCATTTCCCCATGAAGCTTGGGGGCGGTTGTCTCCGCATTAGAATGCCATAGAGCATGGAGAGTCCTTTTGCTAGGGGGTCTGGGTTCATACAAGTTTATTCGAATGGTGTTAGTGGTCTGGTGGTGTTGCATGGTTGGAGTATTGTTTGTGTGAACTCTTTCAGTTGTTGGTACCTGAACTGTAGCATGAATGGGTTATTAGTGTTCCCTGTCATGGTCTCTAGGGTCTTGAGTTGGCCGTTGGTGGTGGTGTGGCATATTCTTGAGATTTCATGTCCCAAGAGGTGGGCTAAGCGTATTTCATTTTAATACGTTGTCCGATACATAAAATTGATATCTTTATACCTGTGTGTCACCTTTGACAGAATGTTAAGGGGTGCCCCTTGCTTGCTCTATAAACTATGCAAGGAGCACAACCAATTAAAAGGGTGTCCCTTAGCTATTGAATTCATTACAGGCCATATTTTGTTTAAGATCTTGCAGTTCAGATACAAAACAAGACAGTAGTCAGCATTAGAACATGCAAGTTTATTTAAACATACACGGGTTACACTTATTTTATTCATGGCAGGGTTAGATTCCTTTACTCTTGAGATCAAGGCACATCTAAATAAAAGCGAGTCTTATAGACGTTTGCATTTTTATTTTGCCAAGTACCAAACTTCATTGTGCCTGTTAAAAAATGTGAATGGATCATTATAGCCAGCACGTTCATAAGCGGAATCATCAAATTGAATTCCATGGGCAAGCAGCTCTTCTGACAACAGTTTGGCTTGCTTTGCGTATTCATAGTCAAAAGCATAGCCACCAAATGACCTGGAGGGGGAAACAAAAAAAAACAAAAACAAAAAATTTTTTTAAAAAGTCATTTTTGTAAATGTATTTAAGATTTAGGCTAAAGATAACAGTAAAGAGATTGGTGATGTGACTCCACAAAACAAAAACACAAAGAATAGTTGTAGTCTGTACCTCTAGGTAACTTAAGACTAACATCAGATTGAGCCTTAATAGTGGATGAAACGAATGTCTGAAAGGGTCATAATGGTGGCATCTAGACACAAGTGTTAAACGCTTATGTTTCTTTCTCCTTTCTCAGTTCTGGTCAGTGTTGCCATATACTTGTATGTGACGTCACATGCAGATTCTGGCATATTTGTGTCCTTATGTCATAACATCCCCAACTTATGTGATTGGAACTTTCTGTAACAACGTATTATTCGTAAGGTATCGAATCCATCTTTAAAAATGTTTTCCCATTATATACTTTGTGCAAACTAGTAGCAAAATCCAATTTTTTTTTAATCCACCAAAACTATAGCTTAACCCCTTAAGGACCAAACTTCTGGAATAAAAGGAAATCATGACGTTTCACATGTCATGTGTCCTTAAGGGGTTAAAGTGACACTATAGGCACCAAAAACATACCTCCCAACACCAGCGTCCTGAGAAGTCAGGTAGTCGGTGGGAGGAAGGTAAATGGGGCAAGCCACTGATGGGATCATGTCACTAGCGCCAACCCAAAGAGGTGAACCTGCCAGGAAAAGGGGGCGAGTCTGCCCATGTAAGCGGGAGGTCAGCCTGTTGTGAATACACACCAAGCTGCCTGCCAAACATTTTAGCTGGCCCACTGATGGAACATGCAGGGAACACTAGGTTAGTGCTCCCTACATCAGGCATAGGCAACCTTTGGCACACCAGATGTTTTGGACTACACCTCCCAGGATGCTTTGCCAGCATTCTGGGTGTAAGAGAATTATGGGGGATGTAGTCCACAACATCTGGAGTGCCAAAGGTTGCCTATCCCTGCCCCACAAGTACATCTTATGATAATCATCGTTGGGAACAGTTCCCTGGTGTCCCCAAAAGGCGGGACAACACCTGAAAAATCAGGACTGTTGTACCAAAATTGGGACAGTTGGGAGACATGACCAAAATAACTAGCTTAATGAAGCAGCTTTGGTATATAGATCATGCCGCTGCAGTCTCACTGCTCGATTCTCTACCATTTAGGAACAATACACAGGGAGCTCACATAAGATATCACATTCAAAATAGGAGGGGGGCACCAATAATTTCCACCACTACATCACAGTAGTGGTCGCAGGGGTGATAATTGCTGCAGTTGGTGTAGAGGAGGGATACACAGATAAAGACTCACCTTCTAGTTATTTAAGTATTGTGTACTTTTTTTGCTTCAATTCTTTATTTTTGAATGTTTCTAGAACTGCACTCTTCTGGACAGCGATCCCAGATGTCCCACAACTGGAGGGTCACTGGCCAGATTATTTCTATCACTCATGGGACTACTGCTGACTTCACTTTCCACATCCTTTCTATCTCTTCTTTCAGTCCTTGGTATCGGTCTACCTTCTCATGTTCCTTCTTTCTGATGTTATAGTCACATCCACAATGTCAGATTGGTTGGCCACTACTTTGTTGGTCTTAATCCAAAAGTCCCACAGGATCTTAGCCCTGTCATGCTCAACTACACTTTGTGGTATCTCCCATCTCGATTTAGGCAGGTCCAGTCCATATTCTTTGCAGATAAAGCAGTACACAATAGAATTTTGAAATATAAATTCCTCCTTGATTAATTTATTTCCGCTTACCTCCGCCTTGGCCAGGGAGGGGACACCTTATCTCTGGTGGTCCAGTTGGAAAATAGGCTAGTCTGCTCCCCCACAGTGGTTGCAGACAGTACCTTCTGGCCAGCACAGGGGCATGTAGCATGGCATTGCCACAGTTACACTCCAATACAGTAGGAGACCACCAAGCTCTGACCTCCCCACTGGACATTGACACCCCCCTCCCCCCCCCCATCATTATGCCCATGTTTACTAGGTAAAGTCACTTTGTTTATACAGCTCTAAACACAGCTGTATGTGACTTACAGACTTCTTTATCACTTCCTGTAAAGAGTCATCTAATGTTTACACTTCCTTTATTGCAAATTCTGTTTAAGAATTTATGTCCTGCACGGTTAAAAGCTTTACACTGTGCAAGAGCATCCTGTATGTAATTAAAGTTCAATCAATAGAGCAAGAAACTAAATAACTTCTAAAGTTTATCTGATTGACACAGCTTGCATTAAAACAAAATTGTTTGATCTTCACTCACAGCCAGACTAGGTATGGCTAGGGCAGCATAAACAGAAACATTAGGGACTTAACTCCTAAATAGCAGATATTTGAGCAATGAAACTGTAGAGGCATGATCTAGATACCCAAACTGCTTCATTAAGCTAAAGTCTTACATGACTCATTAAGTTACTTTATTTATTCAGCCCTAGTCAAACCATCCCAAGTACACCGGCATGTTGTCTTTGTTGCCAGTGTCAGAACAGAGTGATGTCATGTTACTCTTTTATTATACTCCGTAGCCTCAGCTCCTGCAAGGGAGTTTCCATAGTAACTGCAGCACAAGCTCTGTGGTTGCCATGCTTGGGAGAGCAGAAGGACCTTTTGTGAGAAGTCGTTTCTGCTCTGCCTTGTAAGTCAACACATCAGCACGGAGTGTCTGCCGTGGCAATTAATGAACGTCGAGAGAAAAAAAAAAACAAAAAAAAATGCATTTTTAAGTAGGTTTTTCGCCAATCTATATATCTGGTAGCATGGGCTACAGGTAGCATTAAATAGTACCGAGATGGACATTTCACTCACACTATACTGCAACTTTGCACCCATTTGGAGTACACTGCTAAAAAGTAACCCTTCAGAGATTCAGCATGGAGCTACAAATTGCTCCTCTTGGCCGGGGCTTCAAAATAGGCCTAGAGAAATACGTAAACGAACTTACTTGACATAGACACGTGTTTCTCCGGCATTCCCCAAGAACACATCAGGGTCCAGTGGTTTTGGAGGACTCAGTGTAGGTGTAAGGTAGAATGACATGGTTGCATTAGCAGAAGGATTATTAATGGGCAGATACACCAATACAGGCACAGTCATGTTAATCTTCAGACCTGAAAGAAAAGAAATGAATAAAAACCCACACAACAATTCCAAATGATTTATTTAGAGAATTAAATTTCAATTAAAGCCTAGCAGAGTTTTTATAAGTAACTAATTTCAAAAGCTTTTTTGTAACAGATTGTGATCAGTTGAAACGCTTAGCCAGATTTGGATCAGATAAACTATTTTTTTTCCATTCAGATTTAAATGCACAACAATTAGGAGTTTAGTGAATCACTTTATGCTGGTAACATGCTAGAGATCATACTATTAGCTGGCTTAGGTTTTATGGAAAGCATTTCAGCTCAGATCAAAAGTCTTCCAGGAACTTGGTATTTTCCTTAACAATTGATCTTAAAATCAAGCTAATCTGGAAAATGCAAGGCTTGGTCAGTATCTGCCAATCCAGCCAGAAGCAATAAAGAAGAAAAACACACATTTAATTAAAAAGAAATAATCATTTTTTTCCCCCAAGTGATAAAGAAATAGTAATGCAACCCAGAACATGGGGAAAAACAACAATTTCTTAATTTACCACTTACATTTTTTTTTCCCCCCCTCATCATTACAGTACAAGCCAAACGTATTAGGACATTCACAGTTCGTAATGTAATGCAGAAGGTGGGGAGATGAACTGTGAGATAGAGAGCTAGAGAGATAAATAATGAATGAATGAATGAATGAGGAGAGCACTCTGGATTTTTCAAAGTGGTATTCGTGTATTTAGGCAATCAACGTTTCGACCCAGGAGGTCTTTATCAAGGTCTTGATAAAGACCTCCTGGGTCGAAACGTTGATTGCTGAAATAATACACGAATACCACTTTGAAAAATCCACTAAGTGCTAAGGCTGCCTCCCTGCATGACGCTGGGAGGAAGTGACAGGCTGTCACTTATTCCCAGTCGGCCGACAGAGGTGCCCGGTCACCCGACCAGGTCCCTATTCAGGAGTAAAGTTTCCCCGGTGCTATAGTTTGCAAAACGCTGAGAGATTAGAGATATCCTGAAACACATAAAATGGTACGAAGAATGACAGACACTTTCTGCTCACTTTAAGTAGTAATTACAATTATCATTTTTCTTCTAAATAAAGTCTAATCACTGTAATTGGAAGCGATTGTTTTTAGCAGTCACACTAATTTCCATCGGCGATGACCAACCTTTATGTTGAAGAGTAAATTTTTTTTATTTAATTAGCAATGCCATTTTCTAGGCTACCACAGGTAAACGTGAAAAGCAAAACCTACTCACCTTCACTATTGCTTCCAGTGATATACTTAAACAAGCGTCTAAAGGCCTTCCCTGTGCCAAATACATTTAGATTCACAGGTGTCGACACCCACTGAGTGGCTTCATAGACACGAAGCTCAAAACTCTGGAACACAGAAATATTACATTAAGAGTGACTTTATTACATGTTCATACAGCACACAGCTAGCCAGCAGGGTCCCTTTTACAGAGCCAAGAGATCTATTTGGATTGTAGTGTAGTATAGTGCATACATACAGACAAAATATTTTGTAGCCTTCCTCAGTACCTCTCACCTCCCCCCCCTTTACACAGAGTTTTGAAGTGTGGCATTTGTTTTGTCATTATGGGGTATTGAGTGTAGTTTGAGGAGAGAAACAAATTATAGAAATATAATTTTGCATTTATACACATGGGTCTATTCATAGGTGTGCATCCCCACGGCAGGATCTACCCTGTCGGCTCATGCAGAGCCGGCGCTATCTGAGCACCAGCTCTGCTCTCAGCCTCCCTCCCCACTGCAGCATGGAGGGAGGCAGGAGAGGACCCGGGGAGCTCAACCAGCAGCTCCGCCGGGTTCCTCTCACGAGTTCTGAGCGTTGCTCATGGGCTAGAGCTCACTCTCCACTGGACCACCACCAGGGAAAGCAGCAGGAACAAGAATCCCCCCTCCCTACATAAGGTAAGAAGGGAGGGGGGATATTAAGTAATGTACCCCCACAATCACCCACACACCCAATAACAGCACCCTTTAACACAACATCCTCAAACCACCCTCACGCAGCACACACACACACACACACACACACACATATATACACATACATATACACGCGGTGTGTGTTTGTGCTTTAGGGTGCACACTATGGTCTATTAAGTGGCTGAGGACTTGACAACTTCCTAGAGAATGGCAAATTTAAGGGCACATTTGTTAAGCAGGGAACAATGTTGGCAAGTGGAGTTTTCATTTTGACCTAAAATGTTCCACATCAGGTCTCTACAATTCCCAGTTTAGTGAATAAGCAGACATATGATCTTTGGGGTGTGGTATAACACAATACCAAAGGCAAAATAGTTTTCCCTAGAGCAGCCATTATGTATAAGCTGCTGTAGCCCCAACAGAAAGCAAAACATAGCAATCCAAAGTGTTCATCCACAAAGCGCAGCTTAGTTATAGGGGCCCACTAGTGCAGCCCGAGTTTATTCAAAGTACAGACGTTTCAGGACCCAGTCAGCATTTATCATTGATAAAGGAATAAAGGTCCCGAATAGTCTATACTTTGAATAAACTTGGGCTGCACAAGAGGGCCCCTATAACTAAGCTGCGCTTTGTGGATGAATACTTTGGATTAGTGAATAAACACTCTTAACACTAGTTTTAACATGGTAGAAAAAAATTAAAAAGCGTTAGAATCTGACAGGCAGATTGATTACATAATATCAGTGGATCCCTAGATCACTGAATAGACTTTTAATAGTTTGGATGTTCACACTTGTTAACCAGATCTGAGCCCAACATGCCAGCTAGGTGGTTACCGTAGTGCAGACATAGATACCCTTTAGCACACCACCTGCCGTGGGGAACCTGATCAGGTAAAACAGGTGACACATTGTGTGGAAGGTACTATGACAACATTCTGCAGATCCCATAGTGATTGGTCTTTACATGTTACCTCAGACTAACACATCACCATGATTAGTCTCACCTACAGGTAATAACTCTGTATTATGAACAGGTACATGCATCTACCAAGTATTAACACAGTGGCGCAAAATAGCCACCATTTGAAAATAAGATATTCAAAAAAACAAACAAAAAAAAAACCACTTACTTTAAAGTCCTGCTCTACATGATACCTAGGACATTCAAGTTTCCCACAGAAGGAAGGAGTCTTGTACTGATCATGGCCACCTTCCTCAGCCCTCACAGCACCCCACACACAGAGCAAGCTCAGCACCAGCACAGACCTAGCACCCATCACAGCTACCAGCAAACACTAAGCCTGTTCCGGGCCTGCCAGGGTTTATGGAGAGGGAGGGGAAGGGGAGGGGTGAATGCTGATTGCTACTCCTACAAATCAATGAATGCATAGAATGTTGTTGGTTTGGGATGTAATTTAGGGTTAAAGATACTTCTTATCTCTGGGATTATCTATACCCTTCCCTACTTACACATGTGGAAATCTGAGGGGACCAAATATTTAGTTAATGGTTAGTTAATGGTCACTATGTCAAGGCTCTTTTATTTTTCCATTATGTAAGTGATGTGGTCAGCAGTAAGAATTGACAACTTCATGGTTTTATAATTGTGTTTACACTATTATGACCAGGGGTGCATTTGTCCTGATCTCAGTGAGCACCCTGATCGGTTATTAAAACATTTAATACAGGGCTTTATTTTGATACAATGTATTAAAATTAACACAGGTAATATAATATGGGTTATATCAATTTATATATTTTTTTTCTGTGTTAAAAAAAACAGGCCCTTCAAATTTAATTTCTTTATTAACCGTTATATTACTTTTATATCACCGCTGTACGATAAACCTCTTGTTATTTGGGGTAGGGGCGGAGGGGCAGTAAAACAGCAAATTGCAGCTCTCAATATATAATTGCTGCCTTTCCACTGCTGGAGCTAATGCTTCCTGAGCTCAGGAGGAGAAGTAACTGATGAGTGCCTAGGGACAGTTCTTCAGTGTTAAACAGTTCGAAAACAGATTAGCACTTAATGGTAAATAGATTGCATGAAGTGGTTATGGTGCCCACAGAATTTCTTTAAAAGCTAATTATGTTGCATGAGCGGTAGATAGATCTCCAGATCAGCTATTTTAGACACAGTGTTTTTCTATTCAGATTTCCTTAGTACAAATGCAGTGGTAATTATTGCAGTTTGTAATAAACTGCAATAATTACCTTTGATGGTTAACTCCAACTTTATTTGCTGTATACCAGACAGCCACTAGAGGAACTTCTTGGTGGTTTGGCGACTTTTGGTCGCTTAACTGATGCTGGACGTCCTTACATTATGCATGAGGAACCCAGCCTCACCCAAAACTCAATAGAAATGCTCACATTAAGACTTCACCAATAGGAAAGTATTGTACAATGCATTCCCATGGGGAAAGTTCTAATGCAAGCATGTGCATTAGGTCCTCCATCCAGGCTGATGTCAGTGGGGGAGGAGCGGAGATGGTGCTTGAACCAGCGCCAACGAACATCCGTGCTGGAAACGGGTAAATGACAGAAGGAGTTTTTATCTCCTTCTGCACCACTTTGTTTTCCTGGCACTATAGTTTCCTTTTAAGTGTGATACGTATGTGTAGGTCTGGTTGAATGTGAGGACTGGCTAAGTGTAACTGTGTGTGGAGTTAGTTTAGCATGATTGTATGTGAGGTTGGATCAGTGTGATTAAGTGCAGAGTTCTGTGTGGAGTTGACTGAATGCAAATGTGTGTGAGATTGACTGAGTGTGTTTGTGTGTGGGGGATTGGGTTTATTTAAAAAAACTATAATAAAAAAAATTTGATCTTACCCCACTCCTGCGGAGGTCCAGTGGAGGCATGATTACGTCTGACCCCATCCCTGGTAATTTTTTTTATATATATATATGTTAACATCACTGGTAGTATATATATCGCACTAAATAATGGTTAGTTCAGCCACTGAGTCAAATCTTTCTAAACCAGTTAGATTTCTTTCTTCAGGTCAACTTGGCAATAGAGGGTGATAGGGCACTCCTAGGCACAATACCAATACTAATTTAATCTCCTCCTTCCCAAAGGGATGACAGAGAGTAAAAAAACTCAATTTTAGTGAAAAAATAAGAAAAAAAATCAAAGTGAAAAACTATGTACATAAAACTTTGATATATTTAAAAAGTGTTCAAATGTTTTGTGCAGTTTACAAACTTCAGACTTCTAGCTGGTAACGTGCCGCTGCAATTCAGCTTCTTTGTTTATAGCTTCCCCAATCATGGCTCGGTTGCAGTAAGGGAAAGACCGCTCTCTCACGTGGCATGATGGGGCTGTCCACAGTTCAAACAACATAAAAAGTTTCCACATGGGCTGATAGATAGATGGTTAGGTAGGTGGATGGATGGTCGGATGGATGGATGGATTGATGGGTGGGTGGATAAATGGATGAGTGGGTGGATGTGTGGATGGGTACCATAAATGCTAACCATATGTATAGGCCCAAGTTTGAACCTGACATAAATTTAGACTGTCAGTCGCAACACCTAGCCATATAATTACTTACTTGCCATACCCAATAAACGATGGTCCAGCCTGTACATAGATATTATTGATGATTGACCTGTGATTGAAAAGAAAACAATTATCATGACTATCGTAGCACTGTTCACAAACATAGTTAATTTTGTACCATTAGCTAAATTGTCTTGCTTTATAGAACTGGCTACCATATTTGCTAGAGAGGTCTTCTGTTGGCACAGATTGCCTCATGAACTTGTCTCTGACAGAAGGCGCCTCAATTCATATCCATATTCTGGAAATAATTTTGCAATCTAATAGGTATCAAACTTTATTTTTCTTCAGCTTACCACAAGCAATCCAATGGTGCTGATGAAAGAACAAACCAATCCTTAGAGCAGTATCTGCATTGTTTTATTTCAGCCCATCAGGATAATTGGGATGACTTGTAATAATAACGTGTGTGAATTCATACAGCATAGTCCTTTCTACTTTAACTATGGTTTCCATGCCACTGTACTCCCAATATTATTTCCTCAGAGGGAATATCGGAACACCTATAGCTGAGGAACATGCTGGTGATTTGAAGAGGACATGGGCGCATGTTCGACACATCCTGAATCAGAAGTCTTCTGTTCAAAAAAGATTTACAGCCAAAACCAGGTGAATGTGGACCCCGATAGTCAAACGTGAGTCCTTCCCACGGTAGAAAACTGACCAAACCGCTAGACAAACCTAGAGAAACACAAAGCCTGTACACAAAAAAAGTCGAATATTAAAATGTTGTATATGAATAATGTGCAAATTGTATGCATGTCAATGTATAAGACGATATTTACCTTACCACTGTTCCCTATACCCATTCTATTCTGTACCCTTATAAAACTGAAATAAAAATTGTCGAAGTTAAAAAAAAAAAAAAAAAAGATTTACAGCTCCTACATATCATGTTGGTGATAAGGTGTAGTTAAGCACTAGGAACATTAATTTGAAAGTACCTACAATGAAGTTGGCCTCTAGAAATATCACTCTCTACATTTTCATCAGGAACGTGAATCCCTTTGCATACAAATTATGATGGCCTCCTTCCCTTTTTATACTCGATATGTTTTCTGTATCTTTACTCAAGCCGTTAACATGCAGTATACACACCAGGGTGTACTGTCCATAGTACAGTCAATGTGTTTGCACTCCATCTAGTGATTGTTTGATGTAATTGCAGTCTAGGTGAGATAGGAAGACGTGACATAAGGAAGTGATGCTGTATCCCACTAAAGGATAAAATGTAGTTCCAGCCTGCAGCAGCCATTTTGGTTCAACAATAAAGTTTTTTTTAACCCTTGCTTTCTGGATACACATATGCCTTTAAGTTTATGGAATGTGTGTAAAAGACTGTAATGCTTATTTTAAAGTTGAAGATTTACAGTATATGTTGTTTGTGTAAAGTCTTTGTGTCTGAAATTATTTCATTGTATGTATTTACCAATGTATATATGAAGATTGTGAGAGCAAATTTGTTGTATTTATATTGCGGTTTTTACAAGCAAGCAACATGAATAAACTCTGTCTTTTTTAAGACACACAACTATTTCTGTGTGCTTGTTATCCAGCTGTCTAGCTAAAGGGTAGTGAGGACACCATACAGGGTAACCATGCAACCTTCTCCCGTCTTCGTGGCTGGTCAAGAGCAATATGAGATCTTTTCCATTTTGGATTTGCTAATGGCTAGGAGACATGTGCAGTACCTTGTGGACTGGAAAGGATATGGTCCTTAGGAAAGGTCTTGGACTGATGCTTTCGATATCCATACCCCTTGCTTAGTCATGTCACGGACCCCATTTCCGTCCTTACATTGCGCCAATCACATGGTGTGCCGTTTCAGCAGCACACTGTTCATTCCTCTCCTGCCTCTCCTCCTAGTGTTTCCAAAGCTGGCCATTGCGGTACAGCCCCCTTTTTTGATGCAATACCTAAGCACCTAGGCACCTATGGCACGACGCCAGTCACTCTGAGTCATGCCATTTGCGAAGCCTCCTCACCATATAAAAAAGCTGTTTGTCTGCAAAACACTGTACTTTTGTGGTTTCTACTTAGATCCCAAGAGTGCTTGATACTTATTATCTTTTTTTATTGTCTTATTGAGGCTACAACTCCATACTATTTCTTCAGTCCCCTTCTGTTTTCTCTCTAAACTGTCTCTGTTGGAAAATTTATTCATTCTTTTTGATTCCACTAACACCTGTATGCCGATGACAGCCAGGCCCGGACTGGCCATCGGGCAAACCGGGCAAATGCCCGGTGGGCTGCGGAGGCCATGGACCAAGGCCGGCAGGGGAGGTTGCGCTGGTCCCGCTGTTTTCAGTGACAGGCCGGTGGGGAGATCAAAGATCTCCCTCACCAGCCCACTTGGACAGACATGCGGCTGGGGAGGGAGAGGAGGACCCGGTGGAGCTTTATCTTGCAGCTCCGCCGGGTTCCTCTCGCGAAATCAGGAGCATTGCCACGGCAACACCACGATCTCGCGAGAGTGAACTCTAGCCCGCAGGCTAGAGTTCACTCACCCATTAGGACCACCAGGGATAGTGAGAGTGCCACCCCCCTCCCACTCTCTCTCCCAGATACGACCATGCCGGTCCTCCCCTACCAGGCTAAAGGTAAGAAGGGAGGGGGAGACATAATGCCTGCTTATTTTTTTTTATTCCCCCCCCCACCAAACACACAATCCCTTCTAGCATTCACCCACAGCACCCTCACACACATCACACACAGCACTCACACTATAAAGTAAATGTCCAGTGGCAGATTTGCAAAAATGTACATGGACACCAGCTTGTGGGTTGTTCCAGGCTGCATTAACCAATGGATAAAGTGAGTGAGATATTAAACATGGACTGCTCTGAATAGTGGATTAGTTTGAGAAAATGAGATTCAAGAGTAAAAATTACTGTAGGCCAACCATTTTAGTGCACTTTAGTTTATAAGGCAATTAAGGCTTTTGCATACTTGTGCAAGTAACAGGTTTACATGGATTAGTTCTTACACTCTATTTCTTCTCTTTTTGGAAGTAAAAAGCAGTGAGTGATGCTGTGTGTGATGCACTCTCACACACATCACACACAGCACTCTCACACACTTCACCCTCACACACAGCACCCTCACACACATCACTCTCACACACAGCACCCTTACACACATCACACACAGCACTCTCACACACAGCACCCTTACACACATCACACACAGCACTCTCACACACAGCACCCTCACACACAGTATCCTCACACACAGCACCCTCACACACATCATAAACAGCACCTTCACACACAGCACCCCTCAAACACAGCATCCATCACACACACATACTGCACCCTTCACATACACAGTACACCCCTCACAGACACCCACTGCACCCCTCACACATACACACAGAACCCCAACACACTGCACCAAACACACGCGCGCACACACAATACTAAACCTATTTATATTATATATATATATATATATATATACTAAAGCATCCCTCACACACACTGAACCCCTCACACACATACTGCACTCCTAAACACTTTACATTCTAGACACACACTAGATCCCTTACCCAACTCTGGATCATTTACACACACTAGATCCCTTTATATACTCTGAATCCGTTATATTTACACATTCACTAGGTCTCCTACACAATTTGGGTTCTTCACACACACTGCACCACCCACACACACACTGCATTCCTAACATACACACTCTGGATCCCTTATACACACACTAGATTCCTTGTAAACAAACACATATTACACCCCTAAACACACACTCTCTACAACCCCTACAAACACTACATCACCTATACACACACACACTATAGTCTGTATGCACACACTTACTGCATCCCCCACACACACAGTCTCTACAGCCCCTAGCCACATATGCATCACATTACACCAAAAATACAACATGACTAAAACCGACATTATTACACAATACTACACCACAGCTCACTCTGCACACACGCAATCCCACAAGCAGGCTCCAAACAAATGCACAATACTCTTTCCTGGCAATATCAGGCTTCATTGATCCAATAATTAATTGGTAGACATTTTTCACAGAATAAAAAGCAAATACAATTTTTTCCATTAGATCTTTATTATAGCATTAACGTGCGATTGCGTTCGCTCATTTTGGTAATATTTATGTATTCAGTCCCAAACATTGTTTGGATGATACGTCCTCTAACTGCTTGGGTTGGATGTAAGATACAATGGATTGAGTTTTCTTTATTGAGCTGTGAACCACACTTCATTGTGTCTTTTAAAAAATGTAAGTGGATCATTGTAGGCAGCCGCTGTACCAAAGGTATTATCAAACTGTAAGGCCAGATCTGTCAGCTCTTTTGACAATATTTTAGCTTTTTTCTCATAGTCTGAGTTCATTGCATAGCCACCAAAAGACCTGAAAATTAAGAAGTAGATGTAGCTTATTTTAGACATATTTTGCAAACGACAGAAACTAGGAGAGATCGGCGTAGAAGGGTTATTTTTTAGTGAAACCTTTTATTTTTTTTTATTTTACATCCTAAATAATATTGATGCAATAATAGCAATTAAGGTTAGTTAAGGCAACAGTCAAACCCTGGTTTCTTGCTCCCATTAACCTCATAGCTGATGATTAAAGGAACACTATAGGGTCAGGAACACAAACATGTATATCTGACTCTATAGTGCAAGACCCACCATTTAGGTGACCTCCACCCACCCCCGACAAGCTCCCTCAGAATATGTTAAAACTCACCTTATTTTCAGCTCTCCATGGGTCCCAGGCACTGACCCCGCCCCCTTGGGGAAAGCATTGGATTGGCTAAAATTAGCAAGGGGGCAGGACCAAATGCTGGTTTCACCAATCAGCATCTTCTCATAGAGATGCACTGAATCAATGCATCTCCATGAGGAAAATTCAGCGTCCCCATGCAGTGCGTGGAGACACTGAATGGCAGTGCTGCCTACTGTGCAGCCCTGAGCCAGGAAGCACCTCCAGTGGCCATCTGAGGAGTGGCCACTTGGAGGTGTCCCTAGGGGCAATGTAAACACCGCCTTTTCTATGAAAAGTCAGTGTTTGCATTAAAATGCCTGAAGGTAATGATTATTCTCACCAGAACAACTACATTAAGCTGTAGTTGTTCTGGTGCCTATAGTGTCCCTTTAAGTTCATGAAAAAAAAAAAAAATGGATGGATTTCTTTCTTTTTTTTAAAGTATAATTAACAATAGACTGCTAATTTGTTAATTAATTTAGCTTAACGAAACAAAAAAGTGTGGATATTGCTCGATTTTAAAAGATTAAATGGAATGAAAAAATATTTTGCAGTTTGAGATATATTTCAGCTAAAAGTTGCTGTATATTTTGTCAAGTACTATTATAAAATTATATTTGGTGTAATGTTTTTTTCTGATAAAGTATAAATTGCAAAGCATTATTATTAGCAAAGGAATACCCATGTAGGCATCATCACATTAACAAAAATACTCAGATACAAGAAAACCATAAATCTGTCCTCTTACTAGCCATCTCCTCCCAACCCCAGTCACAAACTCCTTCTTACGTTGTTTAATTGACCAGACCAGAAACAGTGGTACAGATCTGCAACCTCATATCAACTCTTCACTTGTGTCTTGTGACTGGTGTCTCAAAATCTCATGTGGAACTGCTTGTCTGTCACATAGTAAGCAGGATGGGTTAACAGGATGGGAAAATGTGTTTCTTGGCAAGTTACTTCTTGGAGGAGTTTGCATAGTTTAGTAATTTCTATTAGAGTGTAGAGAGGGGATATGCCATTTTTTTTTTTGGTACAGTGCATGAGTCGTTATAGTTGGTAATTTGCCTGAGGATGGAGTAAACTAAACTTGTGGAATGCCTGATTAAGGATTCAAGATTTGCTGATCAATCTATTTGAGGACACCAGTCCTCATCACCAAGGTGATGGAAAATGGTTGATGCAACTCATAGGAGGAAGTAATGTTACAGGAAGCAGCTGGCCCCAAGTACAATGCGTTAGATTTCACAAGATTGATAGTGAAGATCATCACTGCAATGTAATTATCTACAGTTGTAAGTTCTATGTGTGGTAGAGAATGAACAAGTTTTTTTTATATAGAATAGTAGACCTGTAAACTTTGTCATTTTTCATGATGGTGTTACCATTTGGATGACTGGAAATTCTTTCTTATTATATAATAGTCCAATGAGTGGTGTGACAATATGGCCTATGTAGCGTTTTATTTTGATATATTAGTTATATTCTAAGCTGCCTCATATGCCATAAGAAAAATCTGGAGAATTAGGGCAAATGTGTTTACAGGCACTAAACCCTGGTGGTGTAAATATCTGTAAATACGTTCCCTTTGTGCCGTGGTCTTTTAAGAAAGCTGGGAGCTCCAGATTGTGGTACAGACTGTCATGTTGAGATATCAGCCTGGCCAATGAATATAGCTGCTTCTTGTCAGGGTGGACAGGCACAAAGGGGGAAGAGAACTGTAACAAATGATATAGTTGTAGATTGTGTGCTGATTGTTTAAAAACCTTGGTTCCTGTAAAATAAGAAGAAGAAGCTTTTTTATGTCTGTTTCTTGAAGTAACTCTTCCTTCAGTCATCTATCGCCATAGAGTGTTACTAGTTCAGTAATTGCCAGTGGACCTTTGAAGGTAGAATTGCCTTTAGTATCCGGAGTCAACTCTATAGTATATCCTGCATTGTCAGTGGATACACTACCAAAGCTGAGTCCTAGCCTTTAGTGGTGCAGGTTAGGTAAAAGAAACCCACGGATGATAGTGTGCATGAACTGGTACACCTTCAGTGCCAGAAATGCCAAGGCCCTATCATCAAAAGGGGGTCGAAGGCCAAGTTGAAAAGAAGGGAGCAAAGAGGTCACTCCTGCCAAACTCCCCTTCCCATGATCACTGGAGCTGAGTTCAAGCCATTGCTACGATAACAGTTGAGTTTTTTTTCATAAAGGTTGCAAACAAGATTGGGAGAAGGATCCCTTAAAACCTATATTTAAGAACCTGCATTAAGTGCTGTCTGGACTGGAGACTATGTCAAATACCCTCTGGGCATCAACGCTCAGAGACCAGGAGTCTTCTATGGGATACCTATTTTTCCTGGACAACTGTTCGGTTGTAGAATAACTGGATGTCTATTTACCGTAATTTGTAGCAGTTTAAGGTCTTAGTTCAACAGCATAATAGGTTGGTGGGATTGGGGTAATCCAGGGTTTTTGTCTGGTTTAAGATTTAGAATTGTTCTAGCTTAAGTCAGTGTAGTTTATGTGTTTTATAATATTTTAAACTGGGACCATTCAGGCCTGGGACCTATACTGACTTAGTTATTTGAATAGCAACTTTAAAATTAAGTATATCCCTCTCATTATTCGTGAGTGTGAGTGTGGGTGAGGTACGAGGGTTTACTGCAGCTTGGGGGTTTGGGTGAGGTAAGGGGGTTTACTGCAGCTTTTTGCAGTAAACCCCCAAATGGACATCATCACAGGAAGGAGAGTATTGTGCTAAATAATCTCTGTGGAATGTTGTGTTAATGAGAGAGATGTCAGTGGTAGTGAACCTATCCTTAATAGAAAAAAACTCAATTGCAAATTTTTTTCATTGTAGCAGAGATATACAAAATGTAGAAAAAGAGGCAACTATGTATCTGAGAAAACATGCCCAGGAGGTTTTTACTTACTTTACATAAACTGAGATTGGTGGAAAACTTTCAAGGTGAACATCTGTGCTCTTTGGAAGTGGTGGATTTTCCAGTGCAGATGGCACAAATAGAGACATAGTGGCATTCTTAGCTGGAGGCGTTATAAATGGAATATAAATCCGCACAGGGACAGTCATCTTAATTGTTAAACCTTAACAAGAAAAATAGAAGATTATCTTCAATATATGTGTACATTTCAAATTATAGTGCTTACTGGTATATTTAATATATCATAGTAGTGGACATGTACAGTAAGTTAAGAAATTATACCAGTTAGAATAGAGTGTAAACATATATAGAGATATGAAGTTTGGAAGCCATTCTATTACTAGCCTCGCCAGTGGTAGTATATTGTTTTTCCACAACATAATGTAACAGATGCTTCCTAAGGGGCGCATATTTGCTATAAAGGCTGACCACTCCAGATTGTATTTGATTCCTACGTTAGTGATAACTGGGGTCTTTGATGGACATTTGTAGTCATCCAAAGTCTCATTCCTGATTCCTGGATGAAAGGCTGCTGGCTGAATGACTACATTATTTGTGACCAGTTTGAGGCCATATATTGGTTACCTGGCCACATAAACTTATGTAGATAGCAGTCAACAGAAGTTTGGCCCATGCACCCTCATCTTCTACAGCATGGCAAACTGCCATCTCCAAAATCAGCTTGTGGCCCCATTTAATCAATACATTTGAAGACATTACTGTCTGGACTGGGTCACCAGCATTCCTCAATTGTTAGCCAAGTTCCTTTAACACTATACCTCACTTGTGCATCATTTTGGATTTCCTGATGTTAACCCAAAGCAAGAAGCCTGTTTTTTTATTCTTCTAATTTATGAACCTCATAGGTAATTTGGCTTAGCCTTCCAGGTAAACCTACTATGGCAGGTATTTGGGTCACCATCAAAGGGCTTATTGTACCTTACAGACCTTTTGTAAAACATTATTGACTATAAATATTAAAAGCAGGTGTTGCACCTTCTGAGTTCTCTCCATTGATATAATCAGATAGACGTCTGAAGCTTTTATATATTCCAATGCCAAACACGTCCACTTCCAGTGGCGTGGTTATCCATTTGGTTGCTTCATAAGCTCTTAGCTCAAATGTCTGAAAAACAGGATAGAGAAGTTAAAGATGAATTGTCACCTCAGAGGTTCTTTCACAACCTGGTGCATCTTGGGAATATTGCAATACTCGGTCTTGCAGAGATTAGTGTATCACACACTGTACAAATCTTTGCTGCCCTCCCAAACCCCGTTAATCTTCAACTCTTTGCTTATGAATCAAGCAAAACTTTGACACAAGGCATGAAGGATAGTGACAGTGATATGAAGGGGGATATAACACTGAAGAGTACAATATATGTACAATGGGAAACACAGATTAGTGACAGTGGTAGGAAAATAGAATGAGCCTATGTGGTTTGAGGAACTAGGAAGTGGAGAGGTTTTCAGCAAGTTGCACTTTAGCTTATAATACTGACTTTACTTAATCTACTCACATGGTTTTATTATATATATATTTTTCACATAGTGTGAATCTGTAAGTGAAATAAACTGTGTGTGTGAGACACTGGACACAGGTGAGTGTGGTGAGATTGAGTGTGAGTGTGGTGAGGAAGAAAGGAGAGGTTGACGGAGATGGAAAAATAAAAACTAGTGATGGGAAGCGAAAAGGATAGAAAGGAGAGATGGAACTCCCAGAGAGGAAGGTCTTGTCAGTAGGTTGATATTAAGCATTACCAGAGAGGAATTAAAAAAAAAAACCTTAAAAAAACCCATTTTGATTATTTGCCAGTTGACTCTTCATTCATTCTGGGTCTTAACCAAACTTCTCCACATTTCCCTTCTGAATCTTCCTGTTCACTTCAAGTATTTGCCAGTTCCCCCTAATCTATATGAATTTCCTTATTTCTCCCAAAAATCTGCCCAATCAGTCAACCACCCAAATGATCTACAAATCCCATGTTTTTTTCTCAATAATTTCCCTTTCTATAAGTCTCTGAAAATCTACCCATTCACTGTAAGATCATTTGACTCAGCCAAATGACTACCCTTCCTGTGGGTCTTTGATAGGCAACACCATGACATCACTCCAAAAAACAAACAAACTGTGTTTGTTGACTGTGCTTGATAAATGGGCAGTTGTGTAACATAGAAACATAGAATGTGACGGCAGATAAGAACCATTCGGCCCATCTAGTCTGCCCAATTTTCTAAATACTTTAATTAGTCCTTGTACTCTTGCAAGGCCTCACATTAATTAAAGGAAATATCTTCATGAAATACTCATACTGACTGCATTGGTATTTAATTGACCAATGCAATCCAAAGACCAAGAATGGACACTTTGTCTTTCGGGCAAGAGTAAAGCTGACAAAAGTTGACTAAAAGCAGAGCTTCACTGTCAACTTCTGTCAATTCCCAGCAGCCATTGTGAGGAATCATCTTGCACATTGCTAGATATGATCTATGGAAGCTCCTGCAGTCTCACAGGAATCTCCATAGTCCTCAGTGGATGTTCTCTCATGCATGTGCGAGAGTACAGCAATGACATGACTATGAGCAGATAACGCGCCAAAGCTGGAGGATCTGGGTGCAGTAGGCAAGTGTGGGACTCCAAAGGAAAAGGTGGACAAAAGTGGAAAAAATCAATAAAGTACACTGTTAAGAGTAAAATAACATAGACTATCAGCCTTTCTTGATATTAGATTTCATCTTATTTATAGATGATGTATTTATTCTTTTATTTTCAATATATCATTTTTATTGTAGCATAGCATGGTCATACAGTAACAATTAACGCATATTCTGCCACATTTTAAGTGCAACACATAGAATAGTAATGATTATAATTGCATACGCAAGAGATAAAAGCACATTATGCTGAAGTCTAATTGTCTTTAGAAAGTGTTAGCTGTAGGTTGCACAATTTCAAGGTAACGCCAGGCTAAGTCAAATAGAGAAAACAATTACACTATAATGCCACTGGCTGCTACTAGTAAAGGTAAAAAAAAAGGAAAAGAAAACAAATCTCTCCAATGTTTTAAGAGTAATTGCTGTTGATGCATAGTAATGTCGCCAGCTATTAATCATCCCATGCTGCAGGTAGGTCACAACAAAAAGCCCATCCCCATGCCTGGCACGTTTTCTTCTCTCACCCCTTCAGAACGCTTTAGGAGTAGCTTGGCTTCCTGCTGTCAAGTGGAGCTTGATCTGCAGTGCCACAACTCCATACACTCCAATGATCCCCTTACTCAGAATGGCAGGATTGGGGGTCTGCCGCAGCACAGGACACAGATATCCCTCCGGGTATGTGGACAGTGGGATAGATGTGATTCCAGGTGGGCCCAGAGCCCAGAAGAAGAAAGATGAGTTGAAGTGGCATCTTGAGTCTTCGGTACAGTTCAGCAAGAGAAGTAGGGATGCGAGGTTGGCAGCTTGTCTGGTGCCGGAACACCTGGCAGACCTTTCCTAATCTGATTCCCTCCATTTCTGGCCCGGGCCTGCCTAACATTGTAGAAGCTCCGGCAAGGTGGCCATCTTAGTCACACCACGTGGTTCCCAAATCAGCTGGATTTTATTCCGATACTTCAGAGATGCAAGTTTACCTATAGGGAAACCTGGATATTCCCCACCAGTCCAAGATGGGGGTAACGGGGCTGCCAGTAATCAGCTGTAAGACGCACATCCAGAATAGGAAGTCACGGGGTCCGGACGCTAACCCCGCCTCCTGGAAGGGTTTGAGTAAACTTTAGTAAAGGTGGAGTAGGCACCTGCTCTCCCCACATTGCAGGTGCCTACTCTGCTAAAATTTACCCGGCAAAGAGGTCACTCATGGCAGCGAGGGAGCTCAGCCTTCTGCTCCTCACTTCTCCCTCTGTAGTGATCTAAGGTGCCGGAATATGACGTAATTCTGGCGCCCGGCATCACTAAACTGCACGTGTGAGGAGCAGGTAGGAGAATTTCCGAGAGAAGATCCCCACTGTACCCACACTAGCTCCCAAAGAATGTGTAAGTGTGTGTATGCCTGTCAGTGTGTGTGTATCTGACAGTGAGTGTGTGTCTGTCAGTAAGTGTGTGTCTGTGTGTCTTTGAGTGTTTGTGTGCATGTCAGTGAGTGTGTGTGTGTGTATGTCTGTCAGTCAGTGAGTGTGTGTGTGTGTCTGTCAGAGTTAGTGTGTGTGTCTGTCAATGTGTGTGTCTGTCAGTGAGCAAGTGTGTGTGTCTGTGAGTGTGTGTCTGTCAGTGAGTGTGTGTCTGTCAGTAGGGCTGGATTAACATAGGGGCTGATGGAGCTGCAGCTCCAGGCCCAGGCCCAGGCCCAGGCCCATGGAATAGGCCCATTTTAAAAAAAAAAGTAACTTTTTTTTTTTTTACACACTACTCTTAGGTTTGCCATCTGACTGGTATTTTAAAGCGCAGCCGGTATTTGAGGCTGCCTGGCCGTGACGGTATTGCAGAAATCTTGGCAATACAAATGCAAATATTTTTCTCAGTATAAAAGGAGATTACTCTGCAATACCAGCACTGGCCAGTAGGGGTCACTGTGTATGGAGAGGGGCAGGAATAGGAAGTTACAGCATCTCCCTGCCTCTCTCTACTCACTGATCCGCTGGGGGAGCAGCTACACAGCACAGAGAGTCCAGATATCAGCTCCCATCCTGCAGAGACAGACTACAGCTCAGGTATGTGAAGAATGGGGGGAAAGGCAGCAGGTAGACATGGGGACACTGAGACACTAGGGGACGCTGTGAGACATAGGGAGACAAATTGGGACACAGAGACACTAGGGACACAGTGTCTCCCAGTGTCCCCATGTCTCCCAGCCAGTGTCCCTAGTGTCTCAGTGTCCCCTAGGCTCCCAGTGCCCCCTAATCTCCCAGTGTCCCCTAGTTTCCCAGTGTCTGTGTCCCCATGTCTCTTAGTGTCCCCATGTCTCCCAGCCAGTGTCTGTGTCCCCATGTCTCCCAGTGTCTGTGTCCCCATGTCTCTGTGTCCCCATGTCTCCCAGTGTCTGTGTTCCCATGTCTCTGTGTCCCTATGTCCCCCAGTGTCCCCAAATATTTCAGTGTCCCCATGTCTATGTCCACAAGTACCCCCATGTCTCCCAGTGTCTCCATGTCTCCCAGTGTTCCCATGTCTGTATCCACAAGTGCCCCCATGTCTGTATCCACAAGTGCCCCCATGTCTCCCAGTGTCCCCAAGTGTCTCAGTGCACCCCTGTCTCCCAGTGTCCCCAAGTGTCTCAGTGCCCCCATGTCTCCCAGTGTCCCCAAGTGTCTCAGTGACCGCGGGTCTCTCAGTGTCCCCATGTCTCACTGTGTCCCCATGTCTCTCAGTGTCCCATAGTAACATAGTGACACAAGACACACTGAGACACTGGGAGAAATGGGGACACAGACACTGGGAGGCTACGGGACTGGGCGACATGGGGACACTGACACTGTGATACATAGGGACACTGATGCCAGGCTGGACTTCCAATTCTTTGGACAGACATGCCCGTTTTTGGGCATGTTCACCCCTTTTGTCAGTTCTGGTCACGTGATTCGCATCAGTGGCCCACTCTTTTACCCCACCCATTGACTTCCTGCTTCACTGGACACTCCTGTTAGGGGGTATGGATTTACTTGAAAGATGAAAGAATAAATTAGATAGAGAGATTAGCATAGAGTATGTGTTTTCTTATAGCTGCATCCTTTGAGTTTTCCTCCAACACCATCTCCATCAGATACATGACGCTTGAAAGGTATGACCGTTTTAGTGTTTTTGGTCGATAAGACTCTGTAATTAGGCCCATCATAATTGTCAGCACCAGGCCCACTGGGCTCTTAATCTGGCCCTGTCTGTCAGTGAGTGTGTGTTTGTCAGTGAGTGTGTGTCTGTCAGTGTGTCTGTCTGTGTGTATGTGTGTCTGTCAGAGAGTGAGTTTGTGTCTGTCAGACAGTGAGTGTGTGTGTCTGTCAGTGAGTGTGTGTTGGTCAGTGTTGCGATGGCCGCGGCTGGGCAGTGGAGGACCTGGAGGTGCACGGAGGCACGTCACATTCCGACGTGACGTCACAGGGTTTCAAGTAGTAGTGGGAGGAACCGCTTTCGCACAGGGTGCGGACGGTGCCATTGGGGGTATACCAGAGGCTGGACTCCGGAGTCATATACTGGCAGCGGCAATGTGAGTGGAGTCTGCTTGTTGGCTAATAGGTTTTTTTTGTTTTTTTTAAACAAGGGCCGGGGTTTAGTAGAGGGGGGTGCTGGGATTTAGTAGAAGGGAAACTGGGAATTAGTATAGAGGTGGGAACTGGGGTTTAGTAGACGGGGATGCTGTATTTTTTTTTTTTATACTGTACTTTTCAAAACAAATCTCTGTTTCTATAAAAATTTAAGTTGTTTTTTTTGCGGCACACATAAACTTAAACCTTGTTTATTTGGCCAATGCTAGCATTTGAGTTTGACATGCTTGTAGTAGACTCTTGTAAAGATGGAAACAGTTTTTGTAATTGCCTAAATGAGGAGATGAAATTGTATTTGAGTTTAGGTAGTTTTTGTTGACGACCTTTAACCCCTTAAGGACGGAGCCAATTGTACTCGTTGTGAACGAAACAACATGTAAACAAAACCTGGCATTTGCACTACATGTCTGTCCAACCGTAATTCACCTCTTTCATAGTAAATACACCCACCCTTATTATATATAATTTTATTCAGGAAAAACAGGGCTTTCATTTAATATCAAATATTTAGCTATGAAACATAATTTAATATGAAAAACATTGGAGAAAATAAGATTTATTTTTTATTTTTTTAGTTCTACATGACATTTTAGCTGTCTGTCTTAATACTGTTTGCTTTTACTGCAATAAAATACACATATTTGTATTCAGCAAAGTCTCACGTGTAAAACAGTACCCCCTATGTACAGGTTTTATGGAATTTTGGGAAGTTACAGGGTCAAATATAGCACGTTACATTTGAAATTGAAATTCGCCAGATTGGTTACGTTGCCTTTTGGACTTTATAGTAGCCCAGGAATGAAATTTACACCCATAATGGCATATCATTTGCAATAGTCGACAACCCAAGTTATTGCAAATAGGGTATGTCCAGTCTTTTTTAGTAGCCATTTGGTCACAAACACTGGCCAAAGTTAGCGTTAGTATTTGTTTGTGTGAAAACTGCAAAAAACACAATTTTGGCCAGTGTTTGTGACTAAGTGGCTACTAAAAAAGACTGGACATACCCCGTTTGCAATACCTTGAGTTGTCTACTATTGCAAATGGTATGCCATCATAGAGGTAATTTTCATTATTGGGCTACCATAGGGTCTCAAAGGCACCGTAACCAATCTGGCGAATTTTAATGTGAAAAAAATGAAACGCAAGCCTTATATTTGACGCTGAACTTTTGAAAACACCATAAAACCTGTACATGAGGGGTACTGTTGTACTCGGGAGACTTTGATGAACACAAATATCACAGCAATAATATCGTCCGTGTATGTGCTGTTTGTGCATGAAAAATGCAAAAAACTGCACTTTTACTGGCGATATCATTGTTGTAATACATTTTACTGTTTTGAAACACTAATATTTGTGTTCAGCGAAGTCTCCCGAGTAGAACAGTACCCCCCCATGTACAGGTTTTATGGTGTCTTGGAAAGTTATACGGTTAAATATAGTGCTAGCAAATTAAATTCCCTTTACTTTCGGCATGGGTTGTCAGGCAGGTCACGCTAATTGTAATTAAGATACCTAATTATGTAAAAATATTACATAAATATATATATATAATTAATATATGTAATTAATATATGTATATATATATATATATATATATATATATGTATGTGAATCTATATGTGTATATATATCATTTTTTTAAAAATATTTGTATTTTTATATAGGTATATATGTAGTGATATATACGTATATATTTATGTATGTAGATATATAGATTATTTCGTTCTACGTGTATTTTGATATAAATATATATATACAGTTAGAACTAAATAACACACATCTATATATTTTTTTATAATTTTTTTAAATTATTTTTTTAATTTTATTTTTTAATGTATTTACATAGTTAATTTTTTTATATATTATATAAATATATATAACAATAATTATATATATATTTAATCAGTATCAGTCTACGTGTAATTTGATATTAATATATATATATATATATATATATATATATATAATTATATATATTTATAGTAAAATACACCTAGACAGTTTATGTGTGTGTATGTATATGTGTATATATATACTTAGATCATATATATATAATATATATATATAATATATATAGATATGATCTAAGTATATATATATATTTTTTTTACACTTAATTAAATTATTTTATTTTTATTTTCAGCCAGCAGGGGGACCACCTGTCATTACAGGCAGCCCCCCTGCTGGCAATGCAGCAGGCAGCCTACCCGGCCATGTGATTGTGGGGTCCTCGCAAGGACCTCACTCTCACATGGCCAGGGGGCCTCCAGGGGGTCGGACGTGCCGTGGGGGGCTCCCTGGGAGTCCCCCGAGCCGCGATCGCTGGCGTGGGATCGCCGGCGACCGGGTAAGTACAGAAAGACCGGAGGGAGTACAATTACGCCCAGCGGTGTTTAGAGCCGCCTAAAATAGGGCGTAATTGTACGCCCTCCGGTCTTAAGGGGTTAAACCAAAAGTAGATGGTTCTGTACTGAACTAGGCAGTATCAGCCCAGAGGAAGGGGCAGTCTGTGTATTTATAGGCTGGGTAACCCTTAAAAAATATTTATGATCAAATAATATATTTTCATAACAGACCCCGTTAAAGGGACACTGTAGGCACCCAGACCACTTGATCTCATTAAAATATTCTGGGTGCTCTGTCCTCTCTGTCCTCCTTAGTACTTCTGTGTAAAACAATGCAGTTTTTGAGACAAAAACTAGATGCGCTTCAGAGAGTTTACCGTACTATCGGACCCCTAAATGACGCTGGACATCCTCACACTATGCATGAGGACATCCACCATCGGGGACGACGCGTAGGAAAGCACTGGGGCAATGCTTTCCTATTGGGAGGGCTTAATGCGTTAACGGCACATGCGCATTATGTGTGTCCCCCACATCAGATGACCTAGTGTCGATGGACATTAGCGCTGGAAACGGGTAAGTAAACAAAGGCAGGAAGTATTGGTGCGAGGGAGTAGGGAACCAGAGGGCACTATACTGTTAGGAATACAACTTGGTAAGTAAGTCTCTGACTGCCTATAATAATAATTATTATTATATACCATAGCTTTACAGTACTTTGTTACATTTGATGGTGTCTTTCTTTGGACAGAGTGCACTATATGATATATATATATAAAGGGCCGCCACCAGAAATTTTGGGGCCCCTAACTCAGCTCAGGATCTGGGCCCCCTGGGGCCTGCCTCCAATCCCGCCCACAGGAATACACACACAGACACAAAAACACACACTGATACAAAAGGACACAGATACACACACACACATACTGAAACAGACATAAACGCATATAGGCATACATACTGACACACACATACTGAGACATACACACATATACCGACACACAGGCATACATTGTGACACATAGACACATACTAACATACATACATACACACATGCATGAGGACATACACATACATACACCGACATACATACACACATACATATGGACAGACATACATTCATTCATACTGGCATACATTCATACAGACATACAGACACTGACATCCATGCACACACTCACACAGACATACATTCATAATGGCATACATTCATACTGGCATACATGCATATATACAGACATACTGACAGGCATACATACATACATTCATACATACTGACGTACATGCATAATGACATCCATACACACATACACATAGACATATGTTCATAATGACATGCAGACATACATGCATACATACAGACAAACATTTATAATGACATACATACATACATACATAATGACAGGGGTCCTCAAACTTTTTAAACAGGGGGCTGCCGGGCCCGTGACAACCGTCATGGTTGTCACCCCCTGATGGCGGCCCTGTATATATACTACACAAAGTGAATGGCTTGTGATAATAACATTTGTTCAATAAGTGTTTAAAAGTAGTCATTAACAGCCATAGCTAAATCCATGGCTCAAAGGTTGTTTAATGGCAAATATTGTGAGTCATTCTATTAGATTACACCATGATGCAATGTGATTGGAAGATGCCTATCTGAGCACTCTGTACCCTTGTTGTGTATTCTACCATTTAGAATTATATAAATGTGTGGTTAGAATGACCTCTGCTTTTCTAATGCACTGCAGATGTTTTATATAATATGGGACTACCTGGGAGGTTTCCTGTTAACTCTTACAAATATGAAAGCCACTCTGTCATGTTTAGGCATCCCTGCAAGTTTTGTAAAGACTTCTGAATGTTACATCCCAGCTTGGGGTGCGGTGGCCTGGGGGTACAGTAAAGGTAGATATATTTACTTGAAACTGTCCCCTGCAGGAGACGCCATCTTTTTTTTTCAACTCCTGGTGCCGTAAAACCCAACACAGTCAATGTGAGTATTTCATAAAGGTTCTTTATTTACAAAATACTCAATTTATAGTCTGATGAGAGAGCTACTTGAAGCATTCAATAGCTCATTATAGTTTCTCAAATATAATAAAGTGTATTAATTGAATCAGCAATATTTGAGAACTAACAAGGCAGCTGCACTTTTAGACCAAAATTGCTAAATAAGAAAAACAAATCAGCAACACCAGCTCAGTTATTTGGGTTTAAAATATATAATTCCCTTGTTAATATTGCCCTTTTAAGCCCTCTGTATTCTCACTGATAAAGTTTTTCTGGATTTGCAAACTTCCTATACCTCTTACATATCATGCAACATGTTGTTCGTAAGACATCCAGACTGGCTCAAAATTAAAATATCATATTGTGTCGTTAACTAACAATATTTTACTGCATACAAGTGATAAAATGGTCTATCTAGTTGCTAGAGTAGGATAAACACACAATCAATTCTCCCTCTAGTCTTACGTCATATTTTTTCACCAGTTGATACTTGGGACACTCAGATTTGCGACAGAATTCAGGAGCCTTGTATCCATCAGATGTATCCTCAGCCCTCACAGCACCCCACACACAGAGCAAGCTCAGCACCAGCAGAGACCGAGCACCCATCACAGCTACCAAGAAACACTGAGCCTGCAGCGAGGAATGGGAATTGCTTCAGCAATCAGACATGGGATGGTGACGAGAGTGTCAGACTAATGGTTAACTACCTTTGTACTGCAGTTCGTGAAACAGAACTCAGACACAATAACAGGGTTATTTACGAAACTCAGAACTGAAGCCAATTAAAGTACGAATGGCAACATTTAAGCCAAAACAGTTAATTTTAAGAAAAGATCCCATTCAGCTATAATACAGCTTGGCTATTTTTTCCTTTTTTTTTAACATTTAAAGTTTTTGTTATTGTTTGTAAACAAAAAATGAAAGGGGAAGGGCTACAGGAGAGAAAAAAGGAACGATGATGGTGGTGGTGGGGAGACATCACAAGTATGGATGAGAATACCAACACGACGTAGACAAGTATATTGAAAACACTTGATTGTGTAGATCACCCAGGTGCAGAAGTTTATAGTAAATCAAAAAGAAACTTAACTCTTTTTGGTATGGTATAAACCAAGGATCCCTCTCTATCCTTGTACAAAATAGAAAAAAAGCAAAATACACCTAAAAATACACATTGGAGAGAACACTCATAGGGTAATAGCATACATAAAATAGGCCCCCACAATTAAAGGTTGCACTCACAAAATAACTGAGAATTCAGGCTCATCACAAAAATTGTCAATCCCATCAGACTCCAGTATAATGTTGAGCAATTCAAGCCAGTTGTGTGGAGAGAAAGTGAAAAATAGTGAAATACAATTAAAAATAAAAATACACTTTAATGGTTACACTTACAATATAGAAATGCAAAGCAAGCTCATCAGTCAATTCCTTGGTCCCCCGTCCAGGTAGCAGAAACATAAGTGTCTGGGATAACCAGGAACCAGGAACAGAACAAAATAAAGATCAACAGCAAACACAATAAAATAAAAATAAATTAAAATAACAGCTAACTCGACGCGTTTCGTCCAGTTAGAATGGACTTCCTCAGTTAAAATAAAGTGCCTTCATGTGCATGAATAAAGTGCTTGTTTTTAGCACTTTATTCATGCACACGAAAGCACTTTTATTTTTTTTCCTACGACATAGATAAGTGCCATATGTAGTACGTTAGCATAATTATTACATCGTACCATAGCATCTAACAGCCCATGTGAATTAGTGAAAGAAGAGTTGAGGTGGAAAATGAGATATACTCAATAAATTCAATTCATTCCAGATCACAACTTTGCTTGACAATACAAAACATTACATAGGAAACTTCCACATGGAGCGCAAGATATTAGTTACATTGCATGGAGCATCAATATATTTTTACGTTTAATCGACTGTGATCTCCATGTGCTGTAGAAGGTCCATCCATTAACAAAACTTTTGGAAGAGAGAAATATAAATTTCAATTTGTGTTCATACATATTTTGTTTATCAATTTCTGTAATTGCTACTATTATTTTTGGAGGAGATGTAGATTTCAAGGATCTCGCCACCTGCTGTTGAGCGGTTATATAATATGTAGTAGTATTTTTAATTTTACTTTAGGGATATAATGGGTAAAGTCAAGTAAAAGATAGGTGAGGGGGGCAAAATCTAATGAGTACTCTGTCACATATTTTTTTTTCCAGAAGTTGCAAGTAATAGCACATTCCCACCATATGTGATAGATTGACCCTTCAGAGTTGTTGCAGAGCCAACATTACGAGGAAGTATTGGGAATTATGTTATGTAATTTAGTCGGGACCATGTAGGATCTGTAGAGATCTGTGCTGTTGTTCAAAACGAGCGGAAGATATGAATAGACCTTTTAGTATTTTAATCATGCTGTCCCATTGTTTTGGTGATATATTACATTTGAGATCTGGTTCCAGTTGTTTTGAAATTTTAGATTGAAAGAGGGGTGTGTGCACGGATATTGGCCTGTAGCAAATGGAGATCAGCTTACAACGAGGAGTCATTCTTCCATTGATACATATTTGCTCCCAAGGTGTGATATTAATAGGAGATAAACCTTGAGCTAAACCTTGTTTTTGGAGCTGCGTCAGGAGAGAATGTAATTGAAGACAGGAACAGGAAGCTGCTTGGCTATTTTTAATTATTTTATTTCAGTTGTTGCAATATTGAGCTGACCTTCCAACCACAAACAGTTATAAAGACACTTTTGTGAAAATGTATTATAATCCTTGTGACGTAACGCTGGTACGCTGTCACTTGGGCATCAAGTGGTGGACTCTGGTGGGGAGCGGCCATTTAGACCGCACAGACTTAGACCTAGCCACAACATGGAGAGACAAGATGGCGCTGAACCAGAGACTGTGTGACCACGTGGGTGGGGGTTGGGACTCTACCCTTTGTGACTGGGGGAGCTGAGTCACCTATTGTTGACTGTGTGGTAAGCCCTCTACCTAATGCATAATGTTTTCCTGTATATGCAAAGTAGGTGTTCTGTGATGGTGTGTCCTATTGGTTATTAATGGGCATAGCATGATTGGTTGTTTGTTTAGGCCCAGTTTGATTGGTTGCTGTTCCAAACCTTTGTGTGTTTACTAATGAGTTTACTTGTATACAAATACCGGGGTGTGTCTAATAAAAAATTTTCCTGCTCTACCCTCAAGCTGTGTGTGTCTGCTTTTCTTGGGGGAGAGGTGTTAGCTGACTGAGTCTTCATGAACGGGCTGACATCTGTGGTTTGGTGGTGGAAAGAAGCTGTTCGGATGGGTGTGCTCAGTTGGGGCACAGGGGACCCATCACAATCCTATTTAAAGAGTTACTCAAAAAAAACAATGCTTTATTATAACACTGTTTATGCTTGGAGTAACTCTGGCTAGTAATAGTAAATTAAATTGTGATTTAAAAAAAATTTCACCGATGGGGGGCGTAGCCTGGCCACCATACTGGAAGGTCGCATGCTTGGAGAGCTCTGTGATAAAAGCTACAAACTAAGCAGAAAAGGCGTGCAAACCACAATTTAAAACTTACTGAACTCAAGAAATAACTATGTGAGCTCTGGTGAAGTACAGTGGGCATCGACCCACTCAAATTCTGCGTATCAGGAGTGGGGCAGACATGCGGCCTTGAAGCGGCCTACTAAGGGCTGGTCCAGGGGATGCGGTCGATCCCCGTGCCGACTGTTTCAAATTCTGCGACTCCGAGGGTCTTCCCCTGTCCCCCCCCTCCCTTGCTGGTGAGGGATATCCCGGCAACATCTTCAGGGCTCTGGTGGGTGTCCTCTAACAGCTACAAGCGATAGCCACATTCTCTGCAATGAAATGGCACACGCCATGTGCCCGCCAGAATCTAGCACCACAATGGCCCCTGTCCTGGAGAGCCTCGACAGAATATTTCGGGACTTCTGGACCAAACTCGAGTGCCATATGAAGGCTTCTAGAGGCATACAGCTCAACCTACTGCTCTCTGCTCTTCACCGACGCCGCTTATGTAGGAGGGGGTCCAGAAATACCACTCATTGGGACTCTGGTAACTGCATGATGCCAGTTCCAGACCACCAGTATGGGAGAATCCACTTCTGCCCTCGTTTCATCTGGACCACATGTCTACAGGTCACCGAAGCCGCAACTTAATCCCCTGCTTATATTACGACTCACTGCATGTGTTCTGATTCCTCTGTAGTTATTTACTTTTACTTTAATTGTGCATACCATGCATTTTATACAGCTACAATACACTAATGGCATGTTGTCTCCTCTTGTTACACAATCAGTATTTCTCATGATAACCATGTTTTTATAGCATATTTTGCAGCTTAAAAAAAAAAAAGAGGCTGTCTACCATAGGAGCTTATGTATACGTGTATCTGACAATTTGGTTGTAGTGTTCTCTGACATGACTCCTATTATCTTTCTATGTTCTGTACCTCTCACATGCCTCAAATAAAAGAAAGATTGATAAAAAAAAACCTCACCAATAATTCAGCACTTAAACCAAGTTTTCCCTGCAGCTCAATTAGCCTTCCGGAATGTCACCACCCCTTTCTGCAGTTTAATGAAATGCTTCTCAAAGACAAGCATTATTGGATCTAGGGTGCATTTCCATCAATTGCACTCCTTCTCAATAAGAGAGGATGAGGAAGGGGGCAAGGACATGGAGTACCAGAGGGAACACAGGAGGGGACCCGGCGGCTTGCCCTGTATGCCGCCGGGTGCGAGACCCCTCCTGTCAGTCCGCCCGGGGAGAGAGCCAGCCTCAGTCTGCAGCTCCGCCGGGTGTGAGCTGCAGACTGAAGTGTCTCGCGATCTCTAGCCAATCTTACTGGAGATCGCGAGACATTCCCCATGTCGTCTGCAGCTCTGCATCCGGCAGAGCTGCAGACCGGAGAGCCCACTGGACCACCAGGGAGTCTGTCACCACTGGACCACCAGGGAAAAAGGTACCTGCCACCCCATCTGTCACCCTGCCACCCCACCTGTCACCCTGCCACCCTGTCACCCCATCTGTCACCCGCCTCACCCTGTCACCCTGCCACCCCACCTGTCACCCTGCCACCCCCCTTACCCTGTCACCCCATCTGTCACCCTGCCACCCCACCTATCACCCTGCCACCCCACCTGTCACCCTGCCACCCACCTGTCACCCCATCTGTCACCTTGCCACCCCACCTGTCACCCCATCTGTTACCCTGCCACCCCCTCACCCTGTCACCCTACCACCCCACCTGTCACCTCATCTGTTACCCTGCCACCCCTCACCCTGTCACCCCACCCCACCTGTCACCCCCACCTGTCACCCCACCTGTCACCCTGCCACCCTACCTGTCCCCCCCTCACCCTGTCACCCCCTCTCACATGGTCACACCCCTTCTCACCCTGTCACCCCCTCTTACTCTGTCACTCACCCTGTGACCCCCCCACACTGTCACCCACCTGTACTCTGTCACTTCACTCTGTCGCTCCCCACACACTAAGTCACCCCACCTCACACTTTCACCCCCTCACACTATGTCACCCCCTCTTATTCTGTCACCCTCCCTCTCACTCTGTCACCCCATCACACTATGTCACCCATCCTCTTACTCTGACACTCCCCTCTTACTCTTTTACCCACCTTCATTATCTCACCCTTCCTCTCACTCTATCACACCCCTTACATTAATGTAACCCTCACATTTTGCCACCACCCCTCACACTCTGTCACCACCCCTCACACTTTGTCACCCCCTCACACTATGTCATTTTCCCCACACACTCTGTCACCCCTCTCGGCGCACACTGACACCCCTCTCGGCGCACACTGTCAACCCTCCATACACATTGTCACCCCTCTCCATATATACTGTCTCTCCCTCCAAACACACAGGCACCACTCTCCGCACACACAGGCACCTCCCTTCATTCTCATTGTGAACCCTCAACATTCTGGCACCCACCTCCATACACTCTGGTACCCTCCTGCTCTTTTACACTCACCCTGCCACAGTTACCCCTTTACTCACCCTGTCACCCCCTGAAGGCAATAATTATACACACTGTCATAAAACATAGCTTCGCCATAAACTCAAAGGCCACAGGCAGTACACAAACATACACATGCTCGGTGAAACATACATACATATACAAGGATCCTCACTGCCAGATACACACAGGTAGACAATGCAACGATGTATACAAAGACTAGCTCACTATATCCAGTGCTGCAAGCTCCCCCTTCAGTATATCTACAGCTTCTTATACACACAAATCAACTGCTATTTTTTTCAATAATGGTGTTAGTGGGAGCCTCATGTATGAGTTTCGCCTAAGGCCTCGCCAAGTCTAGAGCCGCCACTGCCTCCATGAACATACAATCCAGCTGCCCAGCTGCTGTCATCGGTTTATCCAGAAAGCCATCATTCATTAATAGTAAGTCAGTCTGTGCTATGGTGAAAGAAAAGTAGGAAAAAATCACAGCACAGCAGCAATGAATGATGCATTTTTTTTTACCATTTATAATGGAAATATGCAAGTTAAGCCATTTCCAAAGGGGAATAATATTAATAGTTCACAATTATACTAATGCCAATAGATTTATTTTAATGGCAACAATGATCTGGTGGGGCTCTGCGAATGCACCTTAGTGCTGTTCAGGTAATACTGACGGAGGTTTGAAGAATATATGACACTATACAAGCAACCTCCATCTGTCAGCTCCATATGTCACATGCTCAGCATTAGTCGAACCATCAACACAGAGATCTAAGAGTTTTGTGTACAAAGAAAAGGGCATTCAACTGTACTTGCCCCCAAGGGCAATGGTTTCCAGCCCTCCTCTGATTAAGCATGATCAAACGGGACATAAATGAAAGATTGCCATGCCATCAGCTCCCTAAAGGTGAAGAAGGGTTTCCTAAACATTTTTTTTTTTTTAAATAAAGACCATTTAAAATTGCTAAGCTGTGACTATAGTCATATGTTTGTTTTTTAAAATTGTCTGTTATAGGAACACTACAAGCACCATAAACACTACAGCATGCGCTGGTGGTTATGGTTCCCGGACTATCATGGTGCCCCGAAATTCTGTAGTAGTTAGACCATTTTGAACTGTTTAACTTCTCATCTGGAATCCACCAGGAACTGCTCCAAGCCTCCACTACTTCTGACAGAGTGCCAGGAGCTAAGTCGGAGCTTCCTCTCACCTTCCTGAGCTAAACCCTGCAGTGCAGCCCCAATTAATTCCCCAAGAGCGTCAGATGATTGCACTTCAGAGGTTACGTTGCTTGGAGTTTACCTTTAGGTCACCATTGATGGTCAGCCAAGTTCACAAGAATACTATTGTTTCAGTCTCAAAACATTTAGGTTTTTATCGTGCTTAAGTATATCACATAAACAAACATGACATCATTGTATTAATAAACACATTTACTTAGCTTACACCATCCTGTATACTGTACTGTAATGGGATATCGATGGCAATAGGAAGGTGGTACACATTCGTTCAGTCTCCTAATCTCAAAGCTACTGAACACTTACAAATGGGGATCTATTATTACAGCTTCCAACGTTAATAATACACATGTGACAGCCAGAAAATAAATCTGAGATTTTATTACAATAGATTTTGTACATACAAAGAATAGAAAATATATTGTCCATCTAATCCCTACAAGTAATCTATAAATGGTGTTTACTTGGCAAATAAAAAAAGTAATATATTGGCTGAGTTGACAAAATCCAAGCAAAGACATAGATAAAAACACAAATTTTTTTTTATTAGTTTACCCAATCATGACAGCATTGTCTTCCTCAAAGTATCTATATATCCCTATGTCACTATCCATTAGTAGGTCCTAAAATGAAATATTCCCTATAGCGGCTATAGATCGCACATTATCCCTATCCAGCCAGGAGTAAGATATAATAGGTTTTGACTGATTTATTGGACTCTGTACCACACTTCGTTATGCCTGCCAACAAATGTAAGTGGATCGTTGTAGCCAGCTGCTGTACCAAAGGTGCTGTCAAATCCTAGCCCCAAGGCCGTCAGCTCTTCTGACAACATTTTAGCTTTTTTCTCATAGTGTGGCTTAAGTGCATAGCCACCAAAAGACCTAAAAAAAAAATGAAAGAGCAAATATAATATTATTTGTGTCATTTTTCAAAAGATATGGGTGGGGAAAGGGGTCACACGGAAAGGTTATTCTTTGTGGAACATCACATTTTTTGTACACCTGGAATACTTTTTTTGTCAATCTTTGTTTTTATTGAGGCAGAAGTACAGTACAAGGAAGAAGGAGTGAAAGCAGAGCTGTACATATAGTGTCAGACATAGTATGGAGAAAAACATGAGTACAATATCAAAAGTAAACACATAAGTATTCACTCCTAAGAAATGCAGCCTCCTTTTAAATAATGATAAGGAAACCAACTAAACATGCATGAGTTGACTTCCATAAAATAAACAAGGTAGCTATGCTGAGATATAAAACATGCTAGACCACCAGTAGTGTGATACTTATTGTGTAATACCTCTTTAATTGGAACTCAACTGCAGAATTTTCTGAGTGCAGGAACAATAAGTTTCACCTCCTATTATATTGAAGTGAAAACAGTGGACTGTATCTTTAAATAAATAAGCAGGAAAAAATGCAAAGTTAGTTCCAACTTGAATAAGATGGAATAAATTATGAGAAATTTAATAATGAAGTTGGACAGGCTTGCAGTTTGAATAAATTGATATTGGTAGGAAGAATTAGCCTTAGCAGCAATCCTATTTTGCCAAGTGAGAGTTTAGAGAAATTAAATACTATAATTAATTGATATGACTTGGTTTCCTTGGCAAAAGATTTACTTAACTTAGAGGCACTCTGGCACTGGAAGGGTTAATTCACCCAATGGAGGAGGAGATAGGAGTCTCTTTTAACAAACTGCAAATTAGTAGTTGAGAGAAAGGAAGTCCGTTTGTGCAAGCCGAGGTCTGGGAGAGGAGAAGGTAGGAATCCGTTTACAAGCCGAGGTCTGAGAGAGGAGAAGGTAGAAATCCGTTTACAAGCCGAGGTCTGAGAGATGAGAAGGTAGAAATCCGTTTACAACCCGAGGTTTGAGAAGTGGAGCCGGTAGCATCAAGTAGAGCAGCTGATCTCTCTGCCGCACCTGAGTGAATAATCCAGCCCCTTGAATCTGGCGCTGTCTTCCTAAGTATCGTGGAAGGACCGCGTCAGAAAAAGGGCGGGGCTAAGCGCCGTGAACCCGGAAGTGGGTTCCGGTGGCAGCATGAGTGCTAGGGTATACCTGACAAGTAGAATGACTTCAATTAAATTATATTTAAGGCCCCCACGATGGTAGACTGACAAAAGTGTAAAAATACATGTAGGGCAAGACAAAACGGGTAAAACAGCCCAACAGGTTGTGTATGCATTCTTCAGAAAAAGCTTGGAACTCCACCAAGATTCACCCGGCTGTGTGTGATAGGAGGATGAGTGGAGTGTTTGGCTATTACTTCAGCCTATGGCCGGTATAGGTAGGGTGCAGTCCCAGTCAAAGGTGTGAAGTAGCAGGCTTAGTAGCTGTGGTGGTGTTGAAGTAGTGCCCAGATAAGAGGGGTGCCCTTTTGGCTCTTTTCGTCCACTCCTCCTTGCTGAGACCCGCTTGGAACTCACTCCACAGGTCTTGTAGCTGCCCCGCTTCTATGCTGGCCGACGCATTGTGCCTCTCATGAGCTGCTGACCCGGCTTTCTTCCCCAACTGCGCTGCTTCACTTGCCGCCACCTTCTTGGGCTTTGATCGTTGTCAGAACCACAGACGTCTTATGTAGGGTAGGGTTCGGATTACCAAGAGAATGTTCCTTCCGACTGTTGTGAGGCAGTGAGATGCAGTCTGCGCTCAAGCCTGTGCCAGAAGTCATTGAAAATGCTGTCCAGCTTGGACAAGATAATATGCTGGGCTCCAACAGAGCCGGAGATTCACGCGGCGCCTGCCATTTTAGGTGAGTATCTGGGTTGTCCAGCAGCCTTGATTGTTACATCCTGTGTTCTCAGTAAGTCATAGAGGCCTCCCACGGGTTAACCAGGATCACCCCCATGGGCGCCTGCTTAATGCATTCGGTTGCTTGGCAGCTTTTGGCTGGGAAATCAGCCGCTTCTCCCACCCGGTGTACACCAGGCTGAATGCTCTCATAAGCTGCGGACCACTGTACTGGGATATAGCCCGGTCGAAGTTCTGATAAGATGCAGGATAACACTATTTCGAGCCGAGTGAGGCTGAAAAAACTTTATCACCAGTGTTAGAGAGGAGCTCGAACAAGACTCTCTTCCATGATAGTCAGACTCTACCCCCAGAATACATTTAGTACAATCATACAATCTATGTAAAAGATCGAATCTCAAATCAATGTAAATGCTGCCTTGTCTTTTCTGTTCAAAAGGTAGTGTGTGAGAAGAACTGTACATAGAATGCTTTATTTTTAAGTTATTTATACCCTGCATACTCTTTATACAAATGCACTGGAGTTCCTCTGTTTTACCATAATTACAGTTAGTCTACAAACAGAAATGTACAGCAAAGTAAATTAATAGGAATTATACAATGGAAATGCAATGTCAGGATAGTCACTTACTTGACATAGAAAGACATTTGAGGAACACTTTCAATGTAAACCTCTTTGTTCAGTGGTTGCGGTGGATTTACCACTGCCAATGGCACAAAAAAAGACATAGTGGCATTCTTATCTGTTGGAGTTATTAATGGAACATAAATCCGCACTGGGACAGTCATCTTAATTTTGATACCTTAAAATGAAACAAAAAGGATGAAAATATAAATACATTCCATTTCTCTTGTAAAATGTTGGATATAAATGGGTTGTTAGTTGAAATATGCCGTAGCTAAAATCCTGATATTACAATATAAGTCAATACTTTCATTATTAAATATAAGTATATATGTATTATACAATTAAAGGGACACTCTAAGCACCAAAACAACGTTGGCTGAATGAAGCAGTTTTTGTGGACAGACCATGCCACTGCAGTCTCAGCCTTGAGCCCTGACAGTGGTTCACCGCTTGTCCTTCCTGGCACCACTTTTGGTAGGCACTAACAACTGCATTCAGGGAACACCCAAAAAGACTTGTCGGTTTGTAGATGCTCTGACCCAGTCGTCTAGCCATCACTACTTGGCCCTTGTCACTCAGATCTTTTCACTTGCTTATTATTCCTGCTTTGAACACATGAAATTCAAGAGCAAACTGTTCACTTGCAGACTAATATATCCTACCCTTTGACAGATGCCATTGTAACGATATAATCAATGTTATTCACTTTACCTGTCAGTGATTTTAAAGTGGTGGGTTATCAGTGTAAACAAAGCTATTTAACCCCTAAAGAGTATTAAGCAGTTAGATTGCAGGAATATTATGTACACCCTAATACTACTTCACTAAGCTAAGCTTGTTTTGATGTGTAGAGTGTCGCTTCAATTAATTGTCTCAGCGCACAATCAGGCAATAATAATAGTGTGAAAAAGAACACTTATTTACATAACCAGTATGAAAAAGTGACAGTGTGTAGCGCTAAATAATATCGACTTACACCATGAGGAACTTTAGGGATATGAAATATATATATATATTCTCCTGAATCTTGGAGGGTATAGGAGATATATATACTGTGGAGAAAATGGAAAAAATATATAGTGCACTCTGTGCAAACAGGCGTAGTGGTAGATCATATAATAGGAAGCACTCACGTGGTTCAGAGCCTATTATGGATTGGCTCTTAATCACTCTTGCCTTGTGTCCTTTAGGTGACACACACCTTCAGCTCCCAATAAGGAATAACCCTCAAAATAAAAAAGAAACAGGGGGAAATCCGCCCTAGTGTTGAAATCCTTAGAGACAACAATATATAAACATATATATACAGGTGAAGATTGCTTCTCACCTGAACCAGAGCCTGTAACCTGGCTCTAAGTAGAAAGGCATATGAGTCCTTTTATGGGATGACTCCTTCCCTCTTTAATGGATGGAAAATGTACCAAATATACTGTTGAAATTTAAAATGGTATTTATTACATTCATATAAAATCAGTCTTGATACATACAGTATACTGGTGTCCAAAACGCGTTTCGCCGATTCCGTTCGGCTTTCTCAATCGGTGATTTCGATTGAGAAAGCCGAACGGAATCGGCGAAACGCGTTTTGGACACCAGTATACTGTATGTATCAAGACTGATTTTATATGAATGTAATAAATACCATTTTAAATTTCAACAGTATATTTGGTACATTTTCCATCCATTAAAGAGGGAAGGAGTCATCCCATAAAAGGACTCATATGCCTTTCTACTTAGAGCCAGGTTACAGGCTCTGGTTCAGGTGAGAAGCAATCTTCACCTGCATATATATGTTTATATATTGTTGTCTCTAAGGATTTCAACACTAGGGCGGATTTCCCCCTGTTTCTTTTTTATTTTGAGGGTTATTCCTTATTGGGAGCTGAAGGTGTGTGTCACCTAAAGGACACAAGGCAAGAGTGATTAAGAGCCAATCCATAATAGGCTCTGAACCACGTGAGTGCTTCCTATTATATGATCTACCACTACGCCTGTTTGCACAGAGTGCACTATATATTTTTTCCATTTTCTCCACAGTATATATATCTCCTATACCCTCCAAGATTCAGGAGAATATATATATATATTTCATATCCCTAAAGTTCCTCATGGTGTAAGTCGATATTATTTAGCGCTACACACTGTCACTTTTTCATACTGGTTATGTAAATAAGTGTTCTTTTTCACATGTAATCACGATAGGACTGAAGAGTACCTATTTTTTTGTGTGAGAGCTGCTGCACTATAAGAGCACCTGTTACTATTTAATTTAAGCGCCTGATAACACAGAATATTCTGCAATAATAATAGTGTGTTGAAAATTCGCATTCAAAAAGTATTCAGGCCCTTTCACTTTTTTAATGTTGCAGCTTTCATATTTTAATTTTTTTTTTTTCTTCACAATGACCCTAAGCACACTGTGAAGACATGGCAATGTCCTTGAGTGGCCCAGCCAAAGCCTGGAGAAATGTCTGTCTTCTGACCGTCCCCATCCAACCTGACCGAATTTAAGAGGATCTGCAGAGATTAATGGCAGAAACTACCTTAATCCAGTGCAGAACTTGTCGCATCATACCCAAAAAGACATGAGTAATTGTTGTCAAAGGTGCTGAGTTAAGGGTCTCAATACTTAAGTCAACGTGTAGTATAAAGCTGCAACATAAAATGAACGGGTCTGAATACTTTTTGAATGCACTATAAATATAACTAACATGTTTGCCACTTTGTTTTTAGGTTCTTTTTTAAAATCAAAGTGTCATTAAAGGAATATCTGGCTATTATACACTGGTTTGCCACATTCCTCTTTTCACTTTTATATTATATTATTTGCTATTTTATTCTATGCAAGTTCATTTTATCCAGACCTAACTACCATTGATTTCGACCATATTAGACTACCAAAGAATCCTTAAGGTGGGGATTATACCACCCATCCACCGAGCAGTACGTCTGCTCTATATACCGTGAGTATATTTTATTTCATTTTAATTGTTTTATCAACTATACAGTGAGCACTATATTTTTTTATTATTTTTATCCCGAGTTGGACTCCATCCTTTTACCAAAGGACCAAAGAGGAGCACCACATATCCTTGAGTGGGGATTATTCCACTTCACGCTATCCATACCAGAGCTGGATTTAAGCTCTGAAGATTGTGAGTAGTTCCACAAATATTTACATAATATTCATATTCTGTCTTTATACTACACCATTGGAGTTTTTCTCTCTCTTCTGTTCTCCCCGCATATTTATACTCATTAGGGACGCTACATACCCTTCTGATGGACTACTAGGACCACCATTTGTGCATTTGGACATTTTATATTTGTAAATTTGTTTTATTTGTGGTATCAAAGTTAAGAAAAATCGGACTCGCAGGTCCCAGGAGGCACATCACAGTCAACAACAATACTATCACAATTCGTTGGTTTAGTTAACATGACATGTGGGAACATTCTTGGGCTCGCAGGCCCACAATATTGCCGGACTCGCAGGTCTCTGGTAATTTCTAGCGGCACAGCTATGGTTTTTGAGTGCACCAATTGTTGCTGTGTACCCAGGCGTTGGTCTGATCGTGGGCGTTAGGGTAGGGGGCTGTCCGGGCTTCGTTCAGTCCCGCTAGTGCTGTTTACGTGTCGGAATTATTTAGTTATTGTTTGTGGCTCGTCTGGGTATAGTAGGATTAGTATGTATTGACCTGAGTTTTCTTTTTGTCGCGAGTCTGTGGTTCTGTCATCAGATGTCTTGTCTGTTCCTTCTGCGTATCTGAACGGTTGTGGCATGTCTCCTCGCTATTTATCTCCTTCCCCTGTCCTATAACGTCATTGTGCGTGGGTTTTTTAACTTTCATTTTATCGTTTCGTATTAGTCGTATGTCTAGGTGTTGACTTGGGTGTAAAGGGTTGCGTTGTCATGTTTCTAGCGTTTAATGTGTTTGTTGTTGCGTCCGTGGTAGCTCAGCATGCGTTGCTTGTGTGTATAGCTGTTTTGTGTGCTCTTTGTCTGCGAGGTTCGTTATGTGTCCTTTCTATTCTACTCGTGAGTGATATCTGCAACTGGTGTGAGTGTCTCCTTTGTCGTCTCTGTTCCTGCATATTATGTGTGTGTGAAGGCTTTCTCTGTATGAGGATAAGGAAGGAAGTTGGGTGGGGGTGGGGAGGAGGGTAGGGGATGTGGAGAGGGAGGGCGGGTGTCCGCCTCCTTCCGAGCCGCGTCTGGGCCCGCCCCCAGCTGGGTGTATCGTTTCTGCGTCTTGTGTTAAGAAATGTACAGTATCCATGGTGTCCACAGCTCTGTATGTTTTTCCTCCTTGCCTATTGTTTCAGCTATTTTGGCTTCTGCCCTTCTTATGTCTTCGACTTTAGTCTTCCATTGTTCCAGTGTGGGTATATGTTCGTTCCTCCAGTGTAGTGGGATTAGGGATTTTGCCGCGTTTAGCAGGTGTCGCAGAATTGATTTTTTATAAGAGGGTATGGGTCTATCCGTGTGGTGTATGAGAGCGGCTCCCATTGTAAGGTCCACAGGGTCTCCTAGGATGCGTTCTATTTCTTGCTTAATATTCCCCCAGTATGGTTTAATTTTTTCGCAGTCCCACCAGATGTTCTTCAGTGAACCGGGGCTGTCTCCGCATCTCCAGCAGATGTTCGGGATGTTTGGTGCGAATCTGTTTATCAGAGAGGGGGTGCGGTACCAGTGTGTAAGGAGCTTGTAATTCACCTCCTCGTAATGGGAGCTAATGGAACTTTTGTGTTGTAGGATTAAGATCTTTTCCCACTGGTTATCCGCAAAAGACTCCCCCGTCCATTCCTCCCACTGCCGTTTGTATAGGGTGTTTTCTGTTCTATGTCCTGTCAGTATGCTTTGATATATCATGGAGACCTTTCCTGTATTTGCCGTTGTCTGAGTGCATAGGTTCTCGAACCACGTGAGGTCCCTGTGGATTTTGGTTCTATGAGGTAGATTATGGTAGTAGTGGGTTAGTTGGGCGTAACGGAATTGGTGCAGTAGTGTGTGTGGTCTCTCTTCCAATATGTCCCGTAGTGGTTTCACTCCCGTGTTGCTTAAAGTTGAGTAGATAGGTATGTATCCATCTTGGTGTTCCATCGGCCAAGCCGTTGGCGGGAGGCTATCTCCCAGGTCAGGGTTGTACGTGATCGGTATCAGCGGGCTGGGTTTGGGTGAGATCTGCTGTCCTTTCCTCAGCTCGTTCCAGTGTCTCAGGGTGTGTGTAAGTGGGGAGTCTTCTCCCAGTATTATGTGCGCGTCCGCTTCTCTGTGCCAAATCAGTGTGTGTAGTCTTTTCTCGGTGGATTCCCTCCAGAGCGTTACCCACCTTCTGTCGGGTGTATCCGTGTGGAGTTCCTTGAGCCTCTGCAGTACTGTGGCCTGGTGGTATTTTCTGATGTCGGGCAGGGCTAGCCCTCCCCAGCTTCTTGGTAAGCAGAGCTTGTCAAAGCTAATGCGGGCCTTCTCTCCTCTCCAAATATATTGTGTGATTGCTGTTTTGAGTGTCTTGAAAAATGTCTGCGGAATCACCTGTGGGGCTGTGTGAAATATGTAGAGTAGCCTCGGTAAAACATTCATTTTTATCACTGTAATTCTCCCCAGCCAAGATATGTGGGGGTAGTGCCATCTTTTAAGGTCTTCGAGTATGGTCTTCAGGAGGGGTATATGGTTTTGGGCGTAGATGTCTTTAGCCTCGCGTCTTACCCATAGCCCTAGATATTTCATTCGGCTTGGGCACCAGTGGAAAGGGTATTGCTGTTTAAACTGAGCGCATTCTTCTTCCGGGACGGTGACGTTTAAGATTTCGCATTTCGTCAGGTTCAATTTGAGTCCGGATAAACGTCCGTATTTTTCGAATTCCGACATTAGCTGGGCAGCGGAGGTAAGCGGGTTCTCGAGGAAAAATAGCATGTCATCGGCGTATGCGGCCACTTTGTGTTCATGTGTTCCGTGTCTGAAGCCCAGTATTCCCTCATTTTTCCTAATGCTGTCTAGAAGCGGTTCTAGCGTGAGGGCGAATAGTAGGGGTGATAGCGGACAACCCTGCCTCGTGCCATTCTTGATGTGGAAGTCATCCGTGAGTGCCCCATTTACTCGAATCCTGGCAGTTGGTTGGTTGTATAGTGCCGTGATCCATGTGAGCATGTCGTTTCCAAGACCCGTCGCACGTAGTGTTTCCGTCATGAAGTGCCAATCTACTCTGTCGAAGGCTTTTTCAGCATCCGTCGACAGTAGTAGTAACTTCGTTCCCATTTTCTTTGATAGATGTTGTATGGCGAAGAGCCTTATGGTATTATCCCTGGCCTCCCGGCCAGGTATGAAGCCCGTCTGGTCAGGGTGTATTAGTCTAGTCATATGTCTTTGTAGTCTTGTAGTCAGGACCTTCGAGAATAGCTTGACATCAGCGTTGAGGAGTGAGATTGGGCGGTAGTTTCCGACCTGTTCGGTATTCTTGCCCGGCTTCGGGATTACCGCTATTGTTGCGGTCAGGGTTTCTTTGTGGAAGGCTGTGCCGTCTCTCAGGCTGTTCAGGGCTCTGGTGAGATGTGGTACGAGGGTGTGTCCGAATTTCTTAAGGTAGACATTTTATATTTGGACTATTAGGTACCGTGGTTATCCCATTTTTATATTATATTTGGACACTTTTTCGGACTTTTTGTTATTGCTGCTCTTCTCATATTATTATTTTGTTATTTCCACTTGTTTTAGGCGCACCCTTATTCTTTCCTTTTTTTTCAGAGGGGATTCCCTTTTTAAGGTGTGCTGCCTTGTTATTATACTCCCTGTTTCTTATCAGCGCTGAACCTTTTTCATGATCTTTATCCCACCGCTATATATATGTCTCTGTGGGCCCTGCTGGCTTCCAAGTTGGGCCCAGGACACACTGACCTTCCCCTCCAGGACTCTTGCGAGCCACGGCTTTAAAGCGTTGACGCGGGTTGCCGTGACAACGCTCTGAGGCACGCAATGCATGCTGTGCTCGCTACACAAATAGAGCACTGGCTGCAGGAGGGGGACGATGGAGTCTGCTGGGCCCCTCTGTGCTGGCCCAACAAGCTCAGCCACCAGACCACCAGGGAATCCGGTGTCCCCCCTCCCTGGTGAGGTGCAGGGAAGGGGGGAATACATTTAAAAAAATATATATATATATATAAAAATTCAACAGCAAAAAAATACCCCCCCAGCAGCATTTGTCACACATCCATTATCAAACAGACAAACTGCATCCACTACACAACCACACACACAGTATCCACTACACATACACACAAAGCATTCACTACACAAACACACACTCTGCATTCACTATACACACAAATCATCCACAATACACACACTCTCTATCCACTACACAAACATACAATCTGAATCCACTATAAACACTGTATCCACTTTACTCACACACTTTGCATCCACTGCACATATTCTACAGCCACTATATACACAACCAAATTCAGTACACACACACTTCATCCTTGTGGGTGGACTCAAGATGGGCCCTGTGGGTGGATTTGGGGGTGGGTCATGTGGGCTGAGTTGGGGGTGGGCCATGTGGGTGGGCCCCCGGGGCCCAGACCATGAGCTGCGTCAGGGGCCCCATAATTTCTGGTGGCAGCCCTGCCCCCATACCCACCTCACCCTATAGGAGTCAACATGACACCCATATTAGTATAAGGGAGGTTAAAGCTACCTGCTTCTCCTAGCTGCAGCGAGTAGGGGCATGTCTACTAAACAGCAAGAACCCAATGGCTGCTCACTGTAAAAAAAAGAGATTAGCAACTGGGTAGCTAATCCAATAAAGGAGGACTAAACTAACATTTCGGAGGCACCAAGTGTAGCTCATATACACATACACTACTTTCACATTGACACACACACAAACTCCGATACATTCTATCACATACACACAATCAGATACAGTGTGGGGTCTGGAGCAGCTCTCTCCTAGCTTCTCCCTCCCTGCAGCCTGTTCCTTCTCCTCTTTGGCTTCTACACGGCTCGGTTTGTTAGCTGGGAGGAAGTGAAAGGGCTCTCACTTCCTCCTAGCACTGGCTGTATTACAGGGGCCCAATTGCTCTGTTACAGTCCTGCGGCACACGACCGAGCCCCTGTCCACCAATACCGACTGGACTGCTCTAAGTGTATAGGCCGTCCCACTGGCCCCCAGAGCATGCAGCACCTGGTGACGCTCGCACCGGCAGTAGAACCCTACAGGCCAGGTCCATTGGTTTGTTGCTGCAAGTCTCAGTTCCCTTTCTCTTTCTATATAGCTGTAAGAACATTGCAACATCATGCATATTCTCCGTGTTTAGTATTTTAGTTTCCTTTTATTTTTACTTGTTTACATTGATCTCCCAACTTTCTTTTTTCATTTGTTTCCTGCGTCTAGTGTACAGAGGTTTCTGCAAAGTATGCTGGTTCTTGCTTATTCTATCACCTATTATTCTGACTAACGCATCTTTTCTCAAAGCAAAGAGACAGAAGTTACAATTTCAAAAAACAATGACAAAGACGTTGCACCTTGTGAGTTCTGTCCATTGATGTAATCGAACAAGCGCTTGAAGCTTCTATATATTCCAAAGCCAAAGTAGTCCAACTCTAGTGGTGTAGTTACCCATAGGGTGCTTTCATAAGTTCTTAGTTCAAAAGTCTGAAAAATAGATTAAAATAGAAATTTAAGGACCATGGGTATGTACTGTTCTCATGCATTTTCTCAATGAATATCTAGTGAAATCACTGGCGCCCAGACCTAGGCTTCCTCATTGAAGCTTTAAGGTAAGATAGGCACCATAAAAATGTAATGTTGTTATGGTGCCCAGAATGTTCCTTTGAGCTGTAAAACATAAAAAAACTAAACAAAAGCCCAACACCTAAAAATTATTGAATCATCAAACTGTACACCTAACTATTGAGGCCAAAAGTACAAAATGCATAAATGTGCTGGTACCCAAAACATCATCGTACCTTAAAAAACATGTTTTATACTGTGCAATACGCCACCTTGAATTTTGCAATGCAAAACTACTAACATCAACTATACTCTATCAGTGTATGATATTGGAAAATAACGAGACAGAAACGGTTATTTATATATAAGATTATCATTTTGAAAATTCAGTGAATTTCGATTATTAGGCCGAAAAAATAGCTAAACAGAAAAAAACAAAAAACAAATCTGCTATGTTCAGTTTGTCCGTGACAGCCTATAATTCGAATTCATTTGGAATTCACTTTGAATTCCAGACAGTTAACACTTTGGTGATTATATATGTCCTATATGAGTCTCCTATAATATATTACCAAAGATGCTAACAGACACTAACTTAGCACTGCTGGAAGAACGTGCAAGCATTGTCTGAAAGACTGTTTCATATCGCAATTTGCTTTCAATAAAATATCTTTAAAAAAGTAAATATACACAAATATAATAAAACAGAATTCTGAGTATTTTCTGGATATATTAAATGTAATATTTAGTAAAATGCTAGTAGTAGATGTTGGTTTACCCTTAGTCCTGTATGTTTTCAATTAAGTGCTATTAAATAGAGTAAATGAAAATACTATTAAACAAATAACAACCGAAAGGTTGGTGCCTCAATATATTTTATCATGCTATCTATAAAGTTAATTTTTATTATTCTTGCAATTGTATGACAAGCAGTAACTGTACAACACTTTGGAATTTGTTGGCGCTTTATAAATAATAACAATAATAATAATAACAACATTCTATTGCCAGTCTCCAGACCAAAGCACACGATTCCTTCTCCCCCATCCTCTTACTTCATATTTCTTTGCCACTTGATACTTGGGACATTCATAGGTTCCACAGAAGTCAGGAGCCTTGTACTCATCAGCAGCACCCTCCTCAGCCCTCACAGCACCCCACACACAGAGCAAGCTCAGCACCAGCACAGACCTAGCACCCATCACTGCTACCAGGAGACACTGAGCCAGCAGCAGGGAATGGGCACTGTCACGGTAACTCTGAATCAAGGGGAGTGGCAGTGGAATTAACCGCTTCAGAACAGCAACTAGGGAGAGGGGACTGGGGCACACACCACTAGTGTGTATAAAAACTGACCACAAAGGGTTACGAGTCTTTGAGAAGTCATGACTCATAATTCCTCCATCCCCCTCATGTTTGGGAAACTGCAAACTGTTTTACATAAGCTGAATAAGCTCCCACTCTGAGGGCTATTCTGATTTGTTTGCCAAACATCCCATGTAGTATATTTGCATACCTTCTAAGTGTCCCTATTTAAGAGAGACAGTCCCTATTTTGGGCCTAAATCTCATTGACCTATTGACCTCTTCTATCCTAATGTCCCTCTTTTCTATAGTGGTGGTCTGTCTGAGTGTATAACAGAGCTCCACAGCAGTAATACTCACAGTAATGTGTCTTAAACCTACAATGAATGTGTTTAGAAATCAGTCTGTGTAAATAAGATACATTGCTCTTGTTATAAATTACATTTTAGTTGAGTAATTTGTTTCTATTAACTCACAAGAAATTTCTCCAAAAAGACCCGCCCCTGGCCACCACGCTCCCCTCACATCCCTAAAATTGAATTGGCCCTCTTTGTCCATTTGAAATGTTTGGAGGTTTGTATTTGTGTATTCTGTCTTCCTATGTGTTTGGTAAAATAATATAATAATTAGTGGGAATGTGTCAGAGCAGCCCTGTGGACTACACATAGTTCAGCAGCATATCTCATTAGAGTGAGCACCCTGGTGTTAATATACTAATAAAAATGATCATTGTTTTCATAACAGCACAATAATTAACCAAATACCCATAAATACACATTCATTAGGGACAGTTATTTTATTTAACAAACTAAAGAGAGAGAGAGAGGTACCTGCCACTCTCCCTTCCAGTCATCTCCATGTTCTTCTCCGAGTACATCTGCCAGGAACCTGTTTCATTACGGTATGATTTTTTTATTATTATTATTCATAAAGTGCCAACACATTCCGCAGCGCTGTACAATGGATGCACAAAAATATACTGCTCAAAAAAATAAAGGGAACACTTAAACAACACAATGTAACCCAAGTCAATCACACTTCTGTGAAATCAAACTGTCCACTTAGGAAGCAACACTGAGTGACAATCAATTTCACATGCTGTTGTGCAAATGGGATAGACAACAGGTGGAAATTATAGGCAATTAGCAAGACACCCCCAATAAATTAGTGGTTCTGCAGGTGGTGACCACAGACCACTTCTCAGTTCCTAGCTTTCTGGCTGATGTTTTGGTCACCTTTGAATGCTGGCAGTGCTTTCACTCTACTGGTAGCATGAGACGGAGTCTACAACCCACACAAGTGGCTCAGGTAGTGCAGCTCATCCAGGATGGCACATCAGTGTGAGCTGTAGCAAGAAGGTTTGCTGTGTCTTTCAGCGTAGTGTACCAGGAGACAGGCCAGTACATCAGAAGACGTGGAGGAGGCCGTAGGAGGGCAACAACGCAGCTGCAGGACCGCTACCTCCGCCTTTGTGCAAGGAGGAGCACTGCCAGAGCCCTGCAAAATAACCTCCAGCAGGCCACAAATGTGCATGTGTCTGCTCAAAACGGTCAGAAAGAGACTCCATGAGGGTGGTATGAGGGCCCGACGTCCACAGATGGGGGTTGTGCTTACAGCCCAACACCGTGCAGGACGTTTGGCATTTGCCAGAGAACACCAAGATTGGCAAATTCGCCACTGGCACCCTGTGCTCTTCACAGATGAAAGCAGGTTCACACTGAGCACATGTGACAGACGTCACAGAGTCTGGAGACACCATGGAGAACGTTCTGCTGCCTGCAACATCCTCCAGAATGACTGGTTTGGCAGTGGGTCAGTAATGGTGTGGGGTGGCATTTCTTTGGAGGGCCGCACAGCCCTCCATGTGCTCGCCAGATGTAGCCTGACTGCCATTAGGTACTGAGATGAGATCCTCAGACCCCTTGTGAGACCATATGCTGGTGCTGTTGGCCCGGGGTTCCTCCTAGTGCAAGACAATGCTAGACCTCATGTGGCTGGAGTGTGTCAGCAGTTCCTGCAAGACGAAGGCATTGATGTTATGGACTGGCCCGCCCGTTCCCCAGACCTGAAACCAATTGATCACATCTGGGACATCATGTCTCGCTCCATCCACCAAAGTCACGTTGCACCACAGACTGTCCAGGAGTTGGCAGATGCTTTAGTCCAGGTCTGGGAGGAGATCCCTCAGGAGACCATCTGCCACCTCATCAGGAGCATGCACAGGCATTGTAGGGAGGTCATACAGGCACGTGGAGGCCACACACACTACTGAGCCTCATTTTGACTTGTTTTAAGGACATTACATCAAAGTTGGATCAGCCTGGAGTGTATTTTTCCACTTTAATTTAGCGTGTGACTCCTAATCCAGACCTCCATGGGTTGAAAAATTTGATTTCCATTTTTAATTTTTGTGTGATTTTGTTGTCAGCACATTCAACTATGTAAAGAACAAAGTATTTCAGAAGAATATTTAATTAATTCAGATCTAGGATGTGTGCTAACCACTGAGCAGCGAGGCCTGCGTGACTGTAGTTCCCCCGAGACACCTATCTCAAGGTTTCATGCTGATTTACACATGAGAATAAAGCAATGTATGTGCAATGTATGCCTTCGTGTGAGGGTATAATTATTAAGACCATGGAAACCGCGTTCAAAAAATAAAACCTTCAAATATATTTTTATGGATGTTACTGATCCATTATGATAGTTCAGCCATAGACCATCAAATCAGCCCAAAGACAGCAAATGAATGCCAATCTTTGTTTCTTTGATTACCTGAACATACAGTGTAACACTTACAGTGAAATCACACTGCTGCATAAGATATTGCTCTGAGCTTGTCATTACTTTTCAAACCGCTGCTTCACTCATACATTGTATGCTTTCAGCTATGAAGAGAGATTGGACAAAGAGATCACGATGGATCTGTCTGCATTTGTTAAGCATTTGGCTCTGTTCTGCCGTGTGATAAACACAAAGGGATAGGACATATTATCTAACTGCCAGCAATAGGGATTTTCATTCACTTTTGTTCAGTATGTAAAATAAAGTGTCTCAGTTACAGGATTTAGAATCGCTATTCACAAAGGACTGATGAAATTAAACACTCATCTCTCGTATGAGAAGACCTGAGGCGATGGATCTATATTTCCTTTCAGAGTTTGTAGTCTTTCTCTCATTCCCGGGTCTGACGCACTGAGGGTCACCACCCAGTTTTGTCAACGCCTGGCCCCTGATAAACATTTATTTTTAGTTTTATTGTAAATAAGCATGTTGATATTTCTCTTTTTTTCAAATTATTTTCTGCCGTTTTAGCATACTTTGTTAAAGAAATACTGTGGGCACTGAGTGCACATGAGTCATCTCATTGAAGTGATTCAAGTGGCTGGAGCCCCCTGGCACCAACCTTCCATTCAGATTTAAACTATTTTTAATATCTTAAACAGAATTTTTTTAAAAAGCAGAATTAATGCAGAGAGGGCCCCGTTGCAAGAAAGTTTCTTGGGCCCCCGTCTAGTGCAAGAGTGGCCAAAAGGTAGATCGGCATCTGTTGTAAAACTCCAGTGATGATATACCAGGTGAGGATCTTCCATTTGCCCATCCTTGCAGGGTTGTATTTGTGAGCAGTGTTTGTGCGTTTAGAATGTAAGCATGTTTTTGCATAGGGTATATGTCTGCATGTAGGGGTGTATTTGTATGTACTGTCACCATTAGAACGCAGTGGTGTACTTATGTGTAGTGTTTGCGTCTGAATGCAAGGGTGTGTTTGTATGTTGTGTTGGCTTTCAAATGAAGGTGTCCTTTTGTGTGTAGTGTTTTTGTTTGATTGAAGGGGTGCTTGTATATAATTTTAGTGGTTTGATACTGGGGTGTGTTTGTGTGTAATTGTAGCGGACCATGTGTAACCCGACTGGTTACATCCGTTAATTCCTTCCTTCAGCCACAAGTAGATACCCATTCCACCAGTAACCAGACGAAACAGAGTTCTGGGAGTCAACTGATTTTATTCAGGCCACACACAGCTTTTATGCCCAGTCCCCTACAATGGGTGTACAACACAATAAAACAGGGGTTTCAATCCCAAGATCTTCTGTGCCTGAGAGATAATTGCATGAAAAAAAACCCCTCTAATTTAATTATCTGTCAGGTACAGAATATCCAACAAAATATGCTGTACCCCAAAAGTGTCCCCACAGTACTCAGGAACCCCACAAAAAGTACATTCCCCGATAGCCCCTATCTGAGTGTATAACATATCCAAGAATCACTCATATCGGTTTGGTGAAATGGGAACGCCATCGAGGTAAAGTTTTGACCGGTCAGACACGAGGCACTAGCCCAAAACAGTTCCAAGAAAATAGGTGTCCTGTCCGGAATCCGTTCGTGAGGTCCCTGTGCGAACACCATGCAAAAGAATCTCTTTATTTCAGGATACAAATGCTCCCCATGTTCGGTAGTTTATATCTCCTGAATGTCGTTCGTATGGGTGGTCGGGAATTAGAACGGGCATCAGTCTAAGTTTTACCAGCGTTCGCGCAAGTGCCTAGCCAAAAAGAGTTCCAGACACTCGACGACCAAGTACCGCTGCCCAAGTTCGGGAGACAAGATGACCACCATTCTTTTGTCTGCCACGTGTTCGGTTATACGAAATGGCGGCCACCCAGGGGAAGCATTCGTCAATTACTTCCCTTGCGGTTTCGCACTTAAGTGGTTGGTGTTAACGTTCTAATGGGGTAAATGGTGGGTCCTCGTTCAGGAGACGAAAGAATTCCGTTCGCATGAAGTACTCCCGAACGGAAAAGTATAAAACATACGAAACAAAAGGGGAAAGCATACGAATAGGGTTATGTTCCACCACAGTGATGTTGGCTTTTAAGTGCGGTTGTACATTTGTGTGTAGTATTGGTGTTTGAAGGGGTGAGTTTGTATATAATTTTGGAGTTTGAATGCAGGGTTGTGCTTGTATGTAATATTTGTGTTAGATTGTTTGGATGTATGCACATGCACTGCCACATATATACATACGTTTACCATTAAACATACACATTAAAAAACAGATGCACACATATAAACACACTGACACACAAATT